CTATTAAGCTCCCCACCTCATTTTTTAAAAAATCATTATGCAGACCTTTGGGTTCCCCTAAGCTAGCCAATACCTTTTCCCTATGTGTAGATGGTCCCATTTTGGCTACACAAGAGGCCACATTAAGAAAATTGAGTTCACCATTAGTTTATTACAGGGGTAGGCAACCTAAGGCCCATGGGCCAGATGCAGCCCAATTGCCAATGAGTAGAATGTGTCCTTTTATTTAAAATGCATCTCTGAGTTATTTGTGGGGCCTGCCTGGTGTTTTTACATGAGTAGAATGTGTGCTTTTATTTAATATGCATCTCTGGGTTATTTGTGGGGCATAGGAATTCGTTCATATTTTTTTCCAAAATATAGTCTGGCCCACCACATGGTCTAAGCCTTAGACTCTAAGCCGGCCCACGGCTGAAAAAGGTTGCTGACCCCTGGTTTATTATATATCCTCCAGCATGTGGGAATACTTTTCTATCTATGACCCTTGTTGCAACAAATCAGATCACAACTATAGTGCTTTCAGCTTTCAGCTGATGAATGTTGTATGTTGATGAATGGTTCAACCAAGCAACAGGAAAGCAACAATACTCCCAAGGTATTTCTCCCCCCACCCCAATTCAAATATGGGAGAATATCAATAGCCACAATGGCTGTGTTCTGCCTCCACTGTCAAAGGCACAATGCCTCTGAATACCAGTTGCTGGGAATCACAGGTGGGCAGAATACCTTTTCACTCAAGTCCAGCTTGCAGGCTTCCCACAGGTATCTGGTCAGGCACTGTAAGAACAGGAGTTGGACTAGATGGCCTGATCCAGCCGGCTTATCTTATGTTCTGATTCCACATCTTCTCTTTGCAAAATCAGAGTTACATGCTGATGCAAGATACGGCATATTAAGACCATTGCTGAGCTGTGCAGCTTCTGAACAATAATTGCATTCACTGAAATTTCAGGTAATGGGGGAAAATCATTTTAGCTCATCTTGCTGAAGGTTTAAAATGCATTCTAATCATGATGGTCCAAGTTCAGTTCTCTGCTGAAACCATTTACAAAACATATCATGAGTAACTCTAGTCCTTGGACAGAGGAGTCAGCTAATTAGGAAGGTCATCTCTAACATCTCACTCGGCAGACAAAACAAAGACTTATGCCAGGGGGATTCAGGAAAGAAAGGTTATTTTTAATTAAACCACAATAGACGAGGAACCACAATATTGTTTTGGAATGAAACCTATTTAAAGTAATACACCATTGCTATGGAAACGGGGAACTGTGCTGGAGAGGCAGGAAGGCAGATTTGCTAAGGAGTATTTGAGGAATCCTCAGTTTGATGGTGATCTGAACATCTAATTTTGCCATATCCCTCATCTCTCTAGAAGGTCAACAAGCCATTATCGAAGTGTGATAGGGCAACCTGGTCAACCCTCAAGAGTGCAAAGAAATGTGGTGCAATTTTAAGAAGAGCCATGGGCAGAGTCTGATGGTAGAATACGGGGAAGGGGAAGAAAGAGACCCTATAGAAAAACAAGAGGGGCCAGCACAACCCCTTTCTCCACCCTCCAACCACAATAGGCAAAGGTTGCTGCATGTATTTCCTGCATATTGCTGGGGTTGGGGGCAGCACATTGTGCTTGGTTTGCCCAGTGGGTTAGGGAAGTGATACTGAGAGGAGGGGAAACTGGGTTTCAAGGACCTGGGGCCTGTGGTGCACATCCTCAAAGTCAGATTCCTTTTCCAAAGAATAATTTCAATGGTAGATATGGCTTGGATGGATGAAGAGCCAATGGCGGGGGTGGGGGGTGGGGAGAGAAGGCAAGTAAATAGGAAGCAAGATAATGTGTGTAAAATTATGTGTGGTGTAGAAAAAAAGTAGACCCACTTCTCCCTCTCTCATAATATTGGCATCTGGAATCTTCCAACAAAGCTCAGTGGTGGGAGATTCAGGAGTGACAAAAGGAAGCACTTCTCCACTCAGCCACATTGTGTAATGATGGCCACCAACCTGAATGGCTTTAATCAACCATTGGATAGTAGACATTCTGGTTATGTCTTAACTCCATGTGCCATGCCAATTGCTGGTGAACAATACTGAGAGAGTACTATTGCACTCATGCTTTGCTTGTGGGTTTCCTATAGGTATTTAGTTAGCACTGTGGGAGCTAGATAGTGGGGTTTCTGCAGATCCACCCTCCCAACACTGAAATCTCCACTGCATACCTGGATGGGGGTGGGCAAGGGGGACGTTGGGGTCATGTGGTTGCATGAACAGGATTGCTGGATTGGTAAGCGAATAAGCAGCAGCAACACCCGTGTTGTGAAGGTGGATCCATCACACCACACATGCTGCTACTGGGATTAGATAGGTCTTTACTGTGGCGCAGAAGGCTTTTCTTAGGCATTGTCTTATGGCTTTGGCTTTCAAGGGTCTTCAGAAAGGAGCCTTCCCCTGTCCTGATTGTTGAACTGGAAGTGCTGGGCATTGGAACTGTCTGGGTCTTTCTGTAGACCAAGCCTGTGTGCTCCCTTGCCTGCCCCTCCTTACACTTCTGAAAGGAGCTTTGAATTATTTCAAGAACAAGTTCTGTCTTGCCAGCCATACCCCTTTGCTCCAATCCACTGCAGAAACTCTGAACAAGCTTTTTTCTTCAAAACTAGGAATCATGACCAGCCTCTGGCCAGCACTGTTTGCATTGTTTCCCAAATGCCTGATATGACTAAAGAGCACCCCTTCCCGGAATTAAAACTTGAGGGACACTTCCACCCTATACTACACAAAAGGTTTATTTTTAGTGTGTGTGCAAGAGTAAGATTTACGCACCTTCAGGAGCAGTTCATCCACCTCCAGTGACTCCCCTGCATTCATCTGTGTTCTGGATCCACTCCATTCAAACATGAGGATTCCTACCTGGCAAAATAGCAGCAAAGCATCCCATGGCACTTCGGATCTGTTGTGCTTTTCTTATTGGCAGTGTTCCACTCTCCTCCAAGCAATTTAGGGAAATGTGGCAGTAGTTTATCTTAACTTCCATATATGAACTGCCCCAAAAGAACACCTTCACCTGCTTGAGGGTAGGGAAGAGATCAGAGGATAGTTTACACGTTTGGGCAAAAATATTACCTCCCATGTGATTGCATTTAGAGGGCCAGAATTGCAGGAAGCTCTCTTCAAAATATGCTCCACGCTTCTTGGTTTCCTCTCTGTTTGAATGTTACCACCCCACTTTTTTTAAGCCAGGTCTTGAGCTATGCTGCTAAGTCTGCAAAAACACTCTTGCACTTCTGGAAAACTTGCCTGGCAACAGAGGCTCCAGCTTGCAAGGGCAATGGGGGGGGCCAACATCACATGCATGATGTTGCACGTAACATGTGCATGACATCAGGATGTCAGGAGAAGTTGGGGGCAGAGCTGAATGTGATGGCCACATGGCTTCAGTGGCCAGTGGCTCCCCCTCCTGGCACCACCAGTGGCAGGTGGCTTCTTTGATCCTCCTCCCCCTTCATGGCAGCAGGAGCAGGAGGAATCGGCTACTGGAATCGCACTGCCGTTGGCTCCATGCTTCACCTCCATGCTTTTTGGATATGGGGGGTGGCCCCCACCCCAAAAATATTGGGAGACCCAAAAGGGCTCGGCCCCCAGGAACTGGCACCCCTGCCAGACAGCACAGCAAGGTCTGTTCAAATGGCTGAACTGAAGCAACAATTGCAGTTGTTTGTATAGGCAGAGCACTGAAACTGACTATTGTGACTTTTTAGCCCAGCATCCAATATTGAGCCACTTTTGCCTAGTTGTAGATATGAATATACACACTTGGTTGAGCTGGTCAGCTGCACAGGCAGGCAAAAGAGGATCACTTTTGCATTCCTGCTTTGTTGGATTCTTCCCTTAGTTCTGAGAAGTAGCATGTTCTAAAAATGATATGAAACTTCCTCTGGACATTATTTTTAGAATACCGGATTGCATTCCTAGCGATAGGGCTCCTGACACCCCCTGTTTTTCATTTCAATTTGGATGCAGACAAACCAGAGACTGTGCCAAGCGATAAAAGTGACAGAGAAGAACTCCTTTCTTGATCCAAGACGCTCCTTCCTCCACCCTCAAACAATGAAAGCAGAAATGCTGGCTCCCTTCTCGTAGTGAACACTTTTATGGACTTGCTTAATGAACAGCAAATGTTTCTTCTATTTAGTCATGTTTTTAATACTGAAGCTGTCGGCATTCCATCCAGTCTGCACAGAAGCAAGCCCTGCACACATACACTCCTCAGGAGCACGTTATGTCTAGAAGAAAACTCGAGAGGCCTTCTGTCATGGTTGCTTTAAAATCAAATACATTTTATGTCATCCTTCTGGCTTTATGAAAAAAAATACACTGCAACAGCCAGCCATTAAACTAGTGCACAACAAATGAAGCACTTAAACTGCTCAAAACTGCAGAAATGAACATTTTTGCTTCCAGTCTGAAACATTTTTGATGGATATTCATCAATAGAGGACAGTTAATCTTGCACACTACATCCACACTGGGGAGCAGTGTAAAGAAACCTCTGGCTTTTATGTGACTGGAATGTAGCCTATTGTACAAAGGTAAACAGGGCTGGCCTGTCCTGTGTCACCACTTGAGGCACAACAGGAAGTGTGACCCTGCCACTGCTGCTGTTTGTGCCACCTGCCCTGCCACCTCCGCTGGTGGCAGAGAAGTGCCAATTTTGGGTGAGAGCTTGCTGAAATTGCATGAGATCTCACGCACTCTGCAAGATCTCACACAATTTCAATGAGATACTGATGGAAATCAGCACCACCTTACCTGAAATCGGCGCTGATCTGGGCTGGATTAACCATTAAGCAAAATAAGCACGTGCTTAAGACATCAAGGGAAGGAGGGCACCACAGAATTTTTCCAGTGCTAGATTTACATTGGACCATATGTTGTAGCTGAACCAAGTTCCACAAAAAAGGCTCCCACAATAAAAGAAAAATACACACACATATACACACACAATAAAATAATATAATATGCTTTAATCTTGGAAATACAACAAAATTAGATTCTGGTAACTGGTAAAATGTCATAGAGAGAGGTAGGTAGCTAGGTAGGTAGGTAAGCAGGTAGGTATGGGTGCACCACAATCTATTAAGTGCTTAGGGACTCTAAAGCTCTTAATGCTGGCATCCCTTCTCAACTGCCCACGGCAGGCAGGGTGTCTAAAGGTAAGATACATGCCAATTACCCTGCCCACATTTTACATCTGTCCCACTCTCCCACCAATCTCTAGAGCAGTTTTGCAATTTAAAAAAGTTCCCTTTGTAGTTTGTGAGTGCTTGCTGATCTAACACACCCAACTGGCTACCGTGACATGTAGAGCCTTCCACCAGCTGAGGTACCAGCAGCGGCCCCTCTCTCCTGTGTCTGGTCATCCATGCAGTGGCGGAGCAAGTTGATCGGGCACCTGGGCAGGGGCAGGGCCAGCTGGGGCAGGATGCTCCGCAGGGCCTTGGAGTCTGCCTGCCTCCCACTCAGCCGCCCCACAGCTGGGAGGGGAGGCAGTGGGTGGACCATTTGGGCAGCGCAGAGCCTGTGGTTGCCCAAGCCACCACGCCACTCCCAGGAGAGACACGTGGCTCGGGCGCACCGCAGGCCCCGCAGTGAGTGCTGGCCAGCATTTTGTCACCCCCCTCAGTGGTGACACCCAGGGTGGACCGCTTCCACCGCACCCCCTTCCTCCGCCCCTGCATCCATATTCTTATACCTTAGCAATGTATTGTACACATGCAGGCTATGATCTGGAACACCCCAGTAGCAGTGCATCTTGCTGGTTCTTAAACAGCAGCAATTTGGATCAAGACCCTTGGCTGCTATTTAGCAAACCAAAATACAAGGGCCAGCCAACTGCTTAATGTCATGGCAATCAGGACCAAACTTGACATAAGAGGGGGTTGCATCTGCTTTTAAAATGTGGGTCTGGTATATTGCATCCTTGCCTGAGTATATTTTGAAATAGTTTAAATATTGTGTAATCAGCTGTGCAAGAAGAAAAGAATTTCATTCAAGCATATTCCTGCACTGAAGATATAAATTTGATGAAATAAGATAATTTATAACCAGGGAAAGGTGCATAGGGGTATGCTAGAGTGATGTCAAAAAATCGCAACTCTTGCAAGTTTGCTTTCTTTGCTAATGTAATTGAACGACGCAGTGGATTTTCACATATCCTGTACTTGTGCCAGTTCAGCCCATTTCTTTGTTTGCACGGTGACAGCTTTTCTAGCTAGTCTAATCAATTCCTACGTCGTGATAGACACAAAAATGAAATGGAGCCTGATTCAGTTCACCAGAGGTACTAATGAGATGGATCTTCAAATGCTGGCTCTCTTTGAGGTACCTAGATTAAATCTGGTTGTGCAAGTTCTCAGCCCAGTTAATGATATATAGCATTTAGTTTTCTTAAATATTTACTTCAGACATGACCAGATGGTGGGTTTTTATCACTGCTGCTGACCTGCAAGCAGGAGATTGCATGTGATTTTTAAAAACTGGGGAGAGAGGCTGCAACTATCTCTAGTCCAAAGAATGTCTAAAATCTATCTCCAGCTCAAAAGAATGACTAAAATCCTAACACAACTAGGTCTGCCACAGAACAGAAGTCATTCTTCTTCCAAATGCTTGTAGAAAGTAGAAAATGTTGTGGCCTCTTTCTCTCTTGCACCCTAATGTTCACCTACCCATTTAGTGGACTCAGGCTGCAATCCTAACACCACCTACCTGAAAGTAAGGATGAGAAGATTTGTCGATTTTGGTTCTCTCTGTTTCTCATTTCTGCAGTAATTAGAAAACTTTTTTTAAAAACCTCATGAAAATTCATCAGCATTTCAGTGTGAAATTGTTCTAACAGACACTTTTTTGTAATGTACACATTTTTGCAAGTTTTCCCCAATAAAATGCATTTTGGTATATAATTTTCACCAACATATTTTTATGCACACTTTCCCCTAATATTTGATTTTTTTTGTAAAAATTGGTTGGAGAGCTACATCATAAAATTCAGAGGAGTGCAAATTTCAAAGGATAACTGTGTGTTTTGGTTTTTGCATGGTTTTGGAAATTTTGAATTTGATATTTGATTCACCTTTAAATGTGAACTGAATTGGCCATCTACCCCATCCCTACCTGGAAGTAAACCCCAGTGAATTCAATAGGACCTGAGCAGACATGGTAAGGAATATGCTCTAAGCAAGAGGCCATAATCAGGGGGTCATAGACTAGGGATCAAGAATGGGAGCCCCCCTGGGCCAAATCCTGCCCACTAAGCTTGCTTTCGTTTGGACTGGATCTCAAATTTTGTACATTTGAAATAAGAGAAGAGTGTTCGTAAGCAGAGAATGCTTCATTCTTTGTCATTGCGTGGCTCCTGTTTCTTCGGCAAACAAACCTTCAACTGATGAAGGAACTGAAAGCTAGTAGGGTGGCCATATTTCCTACTTCACAGAGGGCAGTCCTCTTGAAGGGTTGTCTCGTTTGTGCCAGCTTTCAAGACAAAGAAGGGCGACTAGAGGCCTTGAATAGTTAGCATTTGTATAGGATTCTGTGCTGGCACCTGCCCACACTCTTCTCCTGCTATGGAGAAATGGATTGTATTTAAATTAAATTATAGTATCTGCTCATGTAGATGAGCATATGCATCTATTTAGTCAAAGTCATGGCCCAGTTTTGTCCTCTTTCACACACAAGTGTGAGACTTGTTTCCTCTTTTGGGGCCATGTATAAAGGGCCTGTGGGACAGTCGCAATCAGGTGAAACAAAAATGTCTGAAGTGTTAATTCTTTTTGATGCCGCATGGAGAAACACTAGACCAAAGCAAGTGGGGTATTACTACTATGTATAACTGAAATGCAAACTCAGTTAAGTACTGAGCATATCCAACCAACAGCCTCAGTTGACTAACGTAGGTTATATCTCACGAGCAACTAGTGCACAGACTGAGAAGGCAGACATGTTAAAAGTCTTTCGCTAAATTCTATGCATATTTAATGACACTACTTGCTCACCAGCCAAAAATAATAAATGATGTCGATCTGCAGACTTCAAATCAGTTCTGCCATTCCATGTTTTATCTATTATAGAGGCTTCAACATGTTTCTCAGGAATACTTACACTGATGTGGCTCAGTTCCAGTCCTTGGCTGGCTCATGGTAAGGAACATCTAAATTTCCAGCAAATCAGAGATAGATGTTTTTGGCTTTGGTTTGTGCACCAGAGACACTTGTTCCTGTGTGCTTTCCTTTTCGTCTCTCGATCCAAACCAAGACACCCAGAGAGGCAGTTATTATTCAAGACGCCTTGGGAATTATATTGAAGTCTGGTAGCCTGGCTGTGCAATATTAACAGGCAAGCTTTCTAAACATAAAGGCCCTTTTATCAAGTCTGATGTAAAAAGATATAGGGCTCCTGAACTCTGCAAGGTACTCTAAATAAGTTGTAAAGCTTTCACACATGCTTTAACTTAGTGCACAAGTACAGTTGGTGCTTACATTCTTTGCAAAGGTATCAGGGCAAGGATTTCAGCTGCCATAGCCATGACAAAAGCAGCACACAAGGACAGCTGAAGACTCTGGAAACCCAACTTGAGACATCTATTAAAACGTTAAAAACTGCCACTTTTGGAGAAGGCTTTTGTACCATATCAGTTCCAAAAGCTGGACAGTAGAAGAGTGCCACTGAAATCTGCTTAGTAAGACATGCTGAACCAATTGTCAGTCTTTGCCATAATGTTTCCAGATGGGACAGAGAGCAGGTCTGTTCGAGAAGATATGTTAATCATAGCAGGGCAGAGGGGGGGTAGGTGAAAGAGGACATGAAAGACCATGGTTGTCTTCTATTAATTCTGTGTAGGATATAGTTTTCTATTAAAAAATAAATAAATTTGAAACTCCAACTACTAACCACCCTGCTCCAAGTTATTCCTTAAGGGGAATCTGTGCCCCACCCCCCACCCCACTGATGCACTTGGACTTCAGATGTCCAGCGGTCAGGGATGATGGGATTTGGGAGTCCAACAACACCTGAAGAACTACAGGTCCTCCAGTCTTACCTTAGAAGTTTAATTAGCATTGCAAAATATCTTGTAACGATGAATGCACCTAGCTGACTTAATCAAATAGCTGGCATGGTGTGGCTAATGGTAGCTGTTTGCAATGGTGGACCTTGTCCTCTTTCTAGTTGAGAGTTAAAGGGTTTATTGTCGACTCCCTTTCCCAGGAACTGGCCAGGCTAAAATCAGATTCACATTAGAAGTGGAACTGTGTCTGGGTCCACTATCAGATACAAGAGTGATTTTACTAACCACATGCAGGAGGGTTAATATATCTCTTAAACTTCATTCCATTCAAAGGTCTTACTGTACTTACTAATTAAACAATTATGGCCTTTTGAACTATGGAGGGACTATTGGTTTTGTTTGTTCCTATGGTATGTATTTTTGTGATTTTATGTTGTAAGCTGCCCTGTGATTCTTGGATGAAGGGCGGTATAGAAATTTTAAAAACTATTATTATGATGCAGAGCAGATGTCAAATAATGACCATTTATTGACATTCACTGAGAAAAAAGTATGAAGCCAAGACTTTTTTCAGAGACTGTTGGTGAAATTTTATTTAGAAGGGCATGGCCTAATGGCATGTTGCCAGAAATTGAATTTATTCCACCTTTTGAAATTAGGATTACAGTTGCAGTGAGACCACAACAGTTCAGCAGCTTTCAGCTACAAAATGACTTTAGATTCAAACCATAAAATATAGCCTTCAGCAGAAATTTCCAATCTTGAAGCCAATCATTGTGTTCTTCAGAATAGAGGGAAAAACCCACACACCCCTACACTATGGCCGAGTCGATTTTCTTGCTTTCAAGAGCAGAACTTGGCACGAAATTAATTTAGCTCTTGGAGTGAAAGAAAATTTAGCACACGCTTCACCCCAAACACATGGCTGGGTCATTTTAAAGTTCCAGAAACAAATAAGAACATATGGAGGAATCTGTCTCTTCAGATGTTAATGTTGCCATAAGCTTCTAGCCAGCACAAGTCTGTTAAGTTAAACCTAGTGGACTGCAGACCAGTTTGGCTGCATAACAACTCTTGATCTATTTATTTCAAATGAAAACAAATTTAGGCCCAAGTTGTACATATATGCAAGTAGGATACTTGGAAAGGTTTATTCATCTTGCCTATTTTTCTGTCTATGCTGGGGCAACACATACTCATTTCTACTTGGTTCTTCCACAAACTCCTCAGTCAAGTCACTAATTTTCAGCTCATTTCCATCTATATCAAATTGTAGCAGCACTGGCCTGCTTCACAAGGTTACTGAGGAGAAATTGGAAGGACATACTTTGCACAATGCAAGCACATCACTCTCTCTTTGTAATAATGTTAGCTGAAAATCAAATAAAACAGAGGTTTCCTGAAGGGTGCCATTTTAATAGTGGAGAAATGGAGAATACCAAGCAATGTCTGGTACACTACAGTCAGGTCCCAGAACTGAAAACAGTTCATAGAGGAACAGTAGCTAGCCTTCCCAAAGGCAGGACAAATATACGATGGTCATGATTACAGTTGATGGCAGTTGTCTTTGGACTTGAGGAGTGGGCCTCTCAAACTCTTTAAAAGCCCTTCTACAAATGAATTGCTAGTGACAACCTTGCGGATGGCTTGAACATGCCCTATGAATACAATATGTCTAAGTTGGCTTAGGCTAACCTTAAACTGGCAAGTTGCACTAAGATGCAGTCTTTAATTCTGCACAACTTTGACGTAGCCACAACTATGTTGCAGCAGAATTAAGGATGTCATGCTCCTACAGCATCTTTGGTTAACAGAGGTTCTCATTTACAGTGCAAGTAGGTAACTTGGAGAGCTATGTTATTATTTTAGGTTTTGCAACAAGTCTCTCAAACCATCTGTACAATATCCATAAAAGTTTTGCTGAAGGTATTTTCTTTCACATGGCTAAAATGAGCCCTGGATCAATCACAGATGGTTGCTGAATATTTCTGCGGCAGTTAACATTGCATATTTTTAATCTATTTTTACAGAAACTAGAGCTATCTGCAGTTAGATTAACAATTATCTGGTGTTCAAGCATACCTATGACCAAAATATAAAGGTGTCTTTGAGAACATTGAAAGTAGTAAAAGAATTTAATTCCAGAAAGCTGCTACTTATGATTGGAAGGAAAGGCCATCTGCAGTATTATCCTTCGTTCCCCATAAGGAGAAACATAACAGAGCCAAACTAGCCAACACATACACGACTACTCTGCAGTTATTAAAAATATACCCTTCTTTAAATCAATTGCAGATTTGGTCCATCAATGCAGCTGTAAGTTAAAGCTTGATGTTTTGTTTTTTTAATGTAAGAACTGCTGTGTTCTGTCAAACCCATAATTAAGCTGGTTCAGTGTTATGTCTCCCAATATTCACTGGCCAAATGATAGAGGGGATTTCTAATCTATGGGCATGGTGGTGCTATAGTCCTAGCAACTGGGGCCATGTGACCTTTTACCATAGAAATTCTGGTCAACATGATTCATAACCACCCATGATTTTATATTCCAAGTAAAAATTTCAGTAATTTCCTGGCTTTTTAAATGGCAAAGCTTGTTCCCATTTCCTTTAAAATTACTGGGGAGATACAAGTCAATGAAATTTTGGCACCTTACTATAAGATCTCCTAATGAGGAATAAGAGGTGGAGAGGAGAAACAGTCAAGACAACATAGTCCTCAAGGAAAAGTCTTTGTTGACTTGGTTGGGTTTGGGAGCTGCTGCTCTGCAACTCCACCTGTTTTGAGTACCAGCGTATGTGCCTGTAGAGAATAGTTTAAGTGATATAATGGGGGGGGGGGGAGAAGAGCTGCAAAGCTCCAAACTACAGAATGAGTAAGTTCAAGTTACAAAACACACAAAAAAGTTTTACCCCAAGTTTTGTGCTTTCAAGTTACAGTGACAGGAGAGGAAAATATATCTGCTAACTATTATGCTATTGCACAATGCTTTCCAATTGCAAAACCATAAGCATTTGCTTTTTCAAATCTTTGCGATGAAGAAACTCCCTCCTCAATGCACTTACACACTCACCACACCACAATCAGATTAATATTAATTAATTATTTGTAAAGCAGATCAAGTTATTCGACTTGAAGCATATCCACTCTGGCTTTCATGCTTTCACTTCTCCCTTGGGCAGTATATTTTCTTCCATCTCCTTTACCTCGTCTTCCAGTTCTTCTGAAATCCCCCTTTTCATTTCATGAAGGTAGCCCCCTTCCCTTTCCCCAGTAAAATCTTAGCCATAAAGCAACGCTTCCAAAACCAGGGCTGTAGAGCTTAGTTGAGCAGCTGTGTATTACAGAAGACCCTTTGCATGAAAAGCTAAACACCAGTTAATAGATTCAAGAGACATACTTTCCTTTTCATTCATCGTTAAAAAGGCCCCCCAAATTAATGACTGCCCCCACCCTTTAACCACTGACACAGTAGCATACAATATACACAAAGGAAAATTGTGCAAAGTACTACACAACAGGGCACCTCATTCTGTCATTTTTGGTTTGGTTCTAAAACACTGACCCGGCAATGTAGGATGCTTCTATTAGAAGAATCCCCTAGCAAGTGATGATCCAAGGAACGTGGAGAACTCCTCAAATTCCAAGAGAAGGCTCAAGCAGTTTCAGCACTAGTGATGCTCCGCCACAATGCTTAGCATTTTATTTTTATATTTATTGTTTAAGACAGTGTTCCCAAACCGCCCCCCCCAAACTTGAATATTGCTGAGGATACTGGTGCCACTTAATGATTCCCCCCCCCCCCGGTTGTAGTAATTGTAATGTGCCGTGCCAGGTGCTGTATGGTTTTTAATTGTATTTTTAAGAGAGCTTTTGTGGGTCTCTTGAATGAAACTCTGGTTCATGTACTTAGTTTGGAAAGCCCTGGGTAAGAGTCACTTCAGTACAATATTTCACACAGCCATCATAAATCTTGTGCAGCAAACTATGCCAGCAATCCTACACAAACTTATGTGGGACTAAGGGCAGTACCCAATGAAGTGGTCCCGTTGTTGCAAGGACTTCTGCTTGCCCAACAAACCTTCCCCTCCCTTGCCCAATCTGCTCTTCAGTATTGGGGTACCACCAGAGCATATTTGGGGAGCATGAGAGGGGAAGCACAGAAGTCTTTGCACAAATGGGATGCCCTTGTTAGATGCAACACTAAGTCCAGATGTACTCAGTGGAGCTTGCTTCTGACTAAAGATGCATAGAACTAGGCTGCAAAGTAGATGGCTGTTTGTTTTGTGGTATAAAGTTGATTAGTTCCTTCACATTTGTATAGGTGCCCATTTCATAAATGGCTCAATATGTACAAAAATCAGGAAGAGACCAAAGGGAAGAGATCTTAAACATGTGTGGAGTAGGAGTCCTACTGAAAATCTTCCCTTCCCACCCCTCCTTAATCCATATTTGACTTTCCAAAATCACACAAAACCATTAAGACACGCTATAAGCAGTGAAGTATTAGAGGAAAAGAGCTCCAGCTAACACTAAAGGACACAGCAGTAGGGCTGGCACCTACCAACCTACTTTGTAAGGTGGGAAGGGACAGGCAAACCACCCAAAAGCAGAGCACAAATCGTAACAGCATCTAGGGGAACCCCTCCCCCCATCCCCCACCCTGTTGAGTACGGTTGTGCCAGCCACCATTATTAAAAACTCTGCAGGTAACGTACGAAAATTGGCTGATTAACATTTCTGTTTACTTGGAATCCCAGAAGAATTTACCAGTGTCAAGTGTTGAACTGCAAGGCCATTCCCTCTCCAGTGTATAACTATTGTATTACAAAAATATATACCAATGTTATGGTTTACCATAAAAAACAAGATAGTCAATACACACAAAAATATTTGTTTAATTGGAAACCATACATCAATCTGCACCTTTTGAACAGTAGTGCAGGACTTGTAAAACCAGGGTCTCTAAAGTCAGCCTACTGTTCCAAAGAAGATCAATTATTTTAAAAAAGGAAAAGAAAAGAAGAGAGAACCGGGTCTCAAGATTCAGTTTACGCTCACAGTTAGCTTGTTAGGTACATCAATATGCATTTTTCTCCTCCGAGTTACACTAACCATCTTTCCTGGACTGTATCACCAGTTTCATGCAGACACAAGAGTTGTAGCTACATACAAGATTTCGTGTAGCTTTCCTGCAAGTTATTTTGTAAATCAGGTAATAGCTTAGGGACAGCAAATGAAGCCATGGGAAGTACAGCAGTGCTTCCAGATTATACCTCTAGTGAATTTCAATTGGAGTGGAGTCTACGTTCTAATCCAATGACAAATATGGCTACTTTGTGGAAGGAGAGGCTTAACTTTAGAAGAAGGAAAAAGAGCAAGGTCATTCTGGATACTACCTTAACAGTTTCAAACAAAACCATCTCCTGCTTCTTGAATGAGTAATTGGATTACTTTAAGTACAAACAGCTGTGTGATGTTACTTTACATACATAAACCATGAGAATGCTTCCACCAAATCAAACAGTCACTCTTCTTTAAGACTTCAGAAGCATGGGAGAGGGTTAGAAGGCTGCACCCAATTTGCTCCCATTTTCATGTGCAGAAAAACACCCCAGAAGCATCAGTCATAGATGTCAGTTGCCTATCACTCAAGTCAATGAGGCTATAAAACCCACAGTATCAACACGCAAATAATTCTTTTCAGAAGAGTAAGATTTACAATAGCCACGTTAGGTAGCTAGCTGAACAAACACCACACATCACACGAGAATAAGTCAACTGTCTGAATAAGGATTTACTTGAACAGAACCTTGTAAGGGTACACTATACTCAGTCTCATTTTAAAGGTTGATTAGATTTTTTTTATACAACATAGCCCCTGGCAATTTAAAATAGACCCACTGGAGAATGGAATGGAGAACTGGAAATGTGACATTTCAAACCCAGGCTGTGTGTGTTTTTAACTTCTTTTCTGAGGAAGACTTCTCAGAATCTGTGTCTTCAAACTCTGTTCTATGCCTTTTCTGTCGCCCACGGATCTGCGAGCCATCACTGCCTGGAAGATGCAACTCGGCAGCTTCCTCTTTCGTGCTCACGGTGTGACTGGGAGAGTCTGTTGCAGACAGGCTGCATTCCTTGTGCAAGGATGTGCATGTCTGCACAAGGCTGCCATTATCAGCATTTAAGTGTAATTGTCTTCCTTGAGCCACAGCCTCCTGCTCTCCAAAACTCTGTCCGTTACTAAGGTAAGAAGAGCGAGGGTGCAAGTGACCATTATTGTGGTTTGCACAGGAATTGTCCGTGTTCCTGTCCTCATTGTCATCTGTTGGGTTTCTAGAGTAATTTCCAGATCCACTACAGGTGGCAGCGGTGGAAAATGAATCCTTCGAGACAACCAGTGGGTTGTGGCTGGGGGCAGGTTGACAATTCTGGTTACTTTTCTGCTCCACAAATCCTGCAGGCTGGCTGCGTGGCTCTTCAGTGCAACTACTTCGGCCTTTGCATGTGGCTTTTCCATTGAGCTTCTTCATCTCAAACGAATGCTCCACAGTCCCACTGTTTCCGTTCCCTTGGGTGACGTTCTCTTGATCCTCCAGCTGCCGCTGATTATCGCATTCATGATCTTGACCATTTCTAGAATTTTCTGCCGAGCTACGTTCCTTGAAGGTTTCCTTGTTGCGGTTTTCAGTAGAGGGATCCTGCCCACCTTGGGTTTTTCTGCTCGTTCCAGGTCTCCCTTCACTTTCACCACCTCCATGCGAAGTTTCGCCATCTTTGTTAGCTGCATAAGACATATAAGAATAGTGGAGCCACCTGAAAGCTTTGTAGATCTTCCTGTCTACAGATTCACTTTCTGAGCAAGGAGAGACCTTCTCTTTGCGGACCTCAGTATTTGCAGTACTCCTTTCGGGAGATGAGGCTGGAGAAGGAGAGAGGTCATCCACTTTGATCTGGGGATAATCATAGAGGTCTTCGCCTAAGTAGGTACTTGTGTTTTCTGTGCTGGCATTTGCATTAGTCCTTTCTTCCTTTTGTGGCTTCTGCCTGCGCCTTAGTGCGTTGCGTTGCCGGGTTGAGGCACGGCGCTCATTCAGTTCCTCGTCATCTTCTGTGCTGCTGCTGCTGCTGGAGCTGCTCGAGTCATTCTCTTCGGGGCTTGGGGACCTGGGCCTTGGGAAGAGATCAGCATCTAGCTCCGTCTCACAAGTATTTTCATCAGAATCAGACTCATTAGAAAGGGCCAAGAGACGCTTGTCTTGGTACCTTCTCAGTGCAGACAAACGTTGCTGGCGAGAAGCCACAGCTTCTCTGGCTGGTGGAGATTCGGTAGATCTCAAGGTTCCCAAGTTATAGGCAGCTTCATCAGATTCTTCCGTCATGTGAGGTGGGGAGTGATGCAGAGATGTGGAGGACTCAGACTCACTATACCCTGAACGCTCGCTTACTCCGGCATGGAGCTGCAGGATTGTGCTTTCACTAAGGTCACTGTCGGAATCAGAGCTCCACCCCTCAATCTCTCGACGGACCAAGGAGTCAAAAAAGGCCATCATCCGTGGATCCTCTTGGACTGACTGATTGGCATAGTCATGAGACAGGCCACTGCCACTGTTTAGCACAAGACTAATGTACTCTTCATGTGTGTACAGACAACGGGAATCGTCCTCGATTTTACCATCCAGATCTCCTGTGCAACCAGGCTGCCGGTAAGGACTCCAGATCTGTAAAAAGAATAAAAAGAAGTGTTGCTTTATATATATCACCCGGTTGCTATTTTAAGGCTTTTCAGCAGTCTACTGATATACCTATATCATTTTGCAAGACTATTGGTGTAGCTGATCTTAAAGAACAATTCTTTTTACTCAGTTTCACAAAGATGTTCCATTTCACGTGCAAAATGTTTCCCCACCTACACTTGAGGATTCACAACTCATAAAATGCTTCCAGCTTGAAATGAAATGAACGCCAGACTGCAGAACTCTATTTTTATCTAATAGGTGTTTACAAGTGGGGGGGGGGAGAGAGAGAAAGGAGGTGGTAAGAATACTAGGTTGCTTTCTGAATAAAAGTCTAGGCAGAAAGGAAGGCGTTTGTTTCCCAGGAAACTAAAGCTAGAGCTTGTTTTAGAGACGTGTTGTGGTGTTTCAATAAGTTGCATGGTTCAGCATCTCAGCAGTTGTGGATGGCTGCACAATGTAAGCTGAACATCTATAATGTTTGGTGTCTTACAGTGCTTTTATATTTTGTTGGAAGACGTCCAGAGTGATTGGGGCAACCCAGTCAGATGGGTGGGGTAGAAGTAATAAAATAGCAGTTGTTGTTGTTGTTGTTGTTATTGGTTCCCCTATACTCAAATGCCATGATAACAGCAGTGCAGCCATTTCCAATCATGTATGCCTATGAGGCTGATGGGGGTGCTTAGAATTTTGCTGTCCTACCAAGTATTTCTTAAAAATACACCTAGGCTAGCACTAAAAGACAATTATATGGTTGAATTAGCACAGATGATCAGAACCACCTGACACCATTCACCTCCCAGGCAGAAGGCTGTGCTTGCAAAAGAGGATGATCATGCCTGTTAGTGTACATCTGTGCTCATTTAATCACCAACAGCAGACATGATCCATCCTCTTTTGCTAGCAGATCTATGCACATGGGAGGTAAACAGCATAGTAGGGCTTGGAGGTAATGCCCATTTATCCTAATCCGCTTCTTAAAAAAATTAATTGCTTGCCAGCCCTTCTGTAGCAGGCCCTACCTCCCCACCTTCATCTAGCCCTCACCTAAGTTGTGGGTTGGGGCCTTCGAGAGACGTGCTCTACATATTTATCTTATTTTAGTTCTGCTATTTATTATCAGCCTTTCACCCCAAGGGGCCAGGCCAAGTAAACAACAGGATGGACAATAGAATGGACCCCTGCAGAATTCCACAGGTCAATTCCCAGGGTTTCAAGTAACAGCCCTCCCCCAATTGCTCCCTTCTGGAACTGACCCTGGAGGTAGGAACATAACCCCAGTAAAATGGTGCCCCCCCCCAGTCAGTCCAGAAGAATTCCATAGTCATCACTACCAAAAGTCAGAGAAGTCAAAGAGAATGCACAGGGTTGCATTCCCCTTCTCTCTCAACAAAAGTCATCAGACAAGGCACCCAAAGCAGTTTCAGTACAATGAAGAGGCCTGGAGCCAGAATGAAATGGGTCCAGATGCTCAGCTTCCTTCGCACAGGCTTAAAGCTGGACCACCACCATGCTTTTAATCACCTTGCCCAAGAAGGGGATATTTGTGACTGGGTCTGAGTCCTGCTGAGTCCTTAGTGCTGCTGAGTCCTGATAGGTCCTCTTAACAGTCCTTTAAAGGAACCAGTTCAGTAAGTAGCTGAATTCAGAAATGCCTCCCTCAAATTACTTCCCCCAGAACAAAAAGTACAGACACGCGGAGGTTGTTCCTATTTTAATTCTGCATAATAACGGAATAGTCCAATTTTGAGGAAGACCTGCAAGGAACACCCATTGGATGACAACATGAATGTGGAATCTGGGGAGATTCCAAATGTCAGTAAGGGGAAAAAAAATACATACAAGTCATTAGTTCTCATGCATCTGTAGAAAAGTTTGGGTTAGAAAGATACCGGTAATATCAAAACCAAAGAACAGGTTAGGCAGTAATCAAAAGGGAGAAAATTTAATGGCTATTGAATTTCCCCTTCAATTATTTGAAAATAAAGTCAGGAACTTCACACCCTTCCCTCACTCCATTCTTTCATACCATCCTCAAGCCTAGTCCCCACACCCACTTTGAAAACCTGAATCCTAAAAACATGACTTTGCAGAAGAAATCCTTGTAAAGGCACTTACTACCAAAGAATGTAACAAGATAGACATGACTCCCACCGTACCATTTTCTCCTTTGTTTACCTGCCAACTAAGATTTCAATTCATGCATCTGACAAGTGGGCTTGAGTCCCTGAAAGCTTATGTCACGATATATGCATTCGTATTGAAGGAGACACAAGAGACACAAGACTGATTGTTTTTTGTTGCAAGAGATGAACACAGCTACTCTTTGGGAAGATTTTAGAGTTGGGATAGAAGTTGAGAAGTAAGCAAAGCCCTTCAAAGGAGCAACCTTTTTTATTATCACCTGCAGTTGCCAGGAAAGCCTCAGACTCCTTTTACATGCAGGAAGGTGACCTTTCAGAGATGTCAGGTTAAGTCACATGCCAGCAAGATATTTTACGCTGTGTTCAGGTAGGCTAAATTATGATTTTGCTGCAAGTGTATATAATTAGGTGTGCTACATCAAATTATCCTATAAAAGCAAGAGACAGATAGTAGCTTGTCTCTATGGTTGTCTCCATAGAAACATGGCTGAAAAAACCTTCCATCTCTTACATAGTAGTGCATTTCAATTTTCATTAAAGTATAAATCAGCAATACCTTACAACTTTCCCTCCCACACAGTTTGACAAGTTGCCACTACCATCAATATTCAGTTCAACACTGCCCTCCTGCTGTCAAGCCCTCTACAGACTTCAGTCAGTTTCTCTCAATAGTGTACACAACTCTACCTTTCTACCGCTTGCAGAGCAACATCTGCCTGCCAAGTAAGCTTTTCTGCAGTCTCCTCCTTTGACTCACCATTATGTTCTCTCTGAATCATGGCGTTGCTTCGTAATCTCCATTTAGTTTAAAGTCTCTTCTCAAAGGCTATCGTCCACATAAAAACTTTACACAAAATTACTCTGTCATCAAGCCATGCTAACAATTCAGATAAAGCTGGATTTTAAATTTACTTTAATTCATAACACGCCAAAACAGAAAAGTCATCAGCAGCTGTCCACACCCACTCATCCACCTCTCAAATTCCTCTCAAGGCCAAGTTTTGGCAACCCCTCTAAGGATTTAGGAGCCAGATAGATCAGCTTTCTGAAGGGTTATTAAAATTGGGAGCCCTTGCAAAGAATTGCTCTGTTGGGTTCCTGCCAATTCAACCTTACCCAGGTGAAAATTCCAGTGCAGGGCCTCACATTTTGATCTGAACAGGCGGCAAAGTCTATAAGGGGCTCACAAGGCTGGCCTACAATGTGTGATCGTAGGATATGAGCTTAGGTGCAAGCAATCTGAAGCTGAGCCATTCTTGTCCCAAAATAGGTTGTCTTGCAAAAATGAGAACAAGGCACAGAAAAACTGGAGTTCCAGCATGGCAGTTACATACATCAATATTTCTTCCTCATAATTAGTTTTAAGCTTGTACATTAGAAAAGATAGGCATGTTTCACAAATACACATGCTGAACCTATGATCTAACATGAATTCTCTTTTCCAGAGGCATTCAAGCACCACAACCTTTCAGGTTGGGAGAGCTCTTGAAAAAGACACTTAACTGAATCACTATCCCCCCCCCCCCAAAAAAATGTAGGTGCAACAAAAGCAACACAGGGGCTGTTTATATACATACATTAATCCAACAGACCAAGTACCGTCACCCAGGAAAGATTCAGAGCTTCATTGGTTATTACACCCAAATTTCACAAGAGGCTTCAAACTGAACCAATTAAGTCTATGCGTACTGTATACCCGTTTGGCAGAAACTGGTGTAAATACAGTTAGGGCAGACGTCTCGAAAACAAGAAGTAAGGCATTTCAATGGTATACAACACAGTGTAATTAAAATCCTTGCTTGTGCTGCTGCCAGATATATCCCTTTTTAAATATGCATTAGTATCTGGAGAATAGGGTGAGAAAGCAGTAGCAAACTCAAAGAGCAAGCCAGAGACACCGACTGAATATAGATTCTTGGTACTGTATTATGCAGACAGGCAGTGGACCATGCTGGCAGGATTTGGGCCAGCCATGACCCCCAGCTTGTAAATGGCCAACAGGGTTACAGTCAGTCAGTCAATGTGCAACTGACTAAAGTGTTTACATGATATACCTCAATTACTGCCATCTGCCCTAAAGACATTTACAAAGCTCTTCAGCGGATGGTCGAAAACAGAACAGGCGTAGAATTAAATCCTCTTGAACCTGCTTTCTAAGCCTACAGGGCACCTGTATATACATAAAAGAGCACAAGACGATCTACTCAAGGGTTCAGCTCAACGTCAGTGAGCCAGTGTGGTGCAGTAACAAGGGAGTTGGGACTTGGACCAGGAAGAGTGAGTTTCAAGCCCCTCTCCACCCATGAAACTCCCTCTCTCTCAGCTAAATGGCTACTTCACAGGTTTGTTCGGCATTTAGAATGGGTAAAATCCTGGATTTGAAGGAAGGCGACGCAAATGCGGCCAACGTGTTCTGTGGTAGAACCAAAACCAAGTATGTGCACCATCCCCAAAACAGCTAATGTCGTGGTTTGCACCCAACTCCGATAACCTCACTGCTGCACAGGCAGTAGCCTCTAAGAGTGTTTCAAGCAATTAAACCTTTCAGACCATCTACTGTTTTCATAAATATTTATCAAGTTATCACTCCTTACAACTGTGTCTTGCATGAACATCTGGAGAAGCTGAGTGTTGTTTCAGATCTTAAGGGTTATTTACCCACAGAACAGGGGGCGCCAGCTATGGACATATTTACAAAGTGGAGAAACTATTGGGAGCACCATGTACATCCCACAACTATGCACATGGGTGTAGACTCATTCCCTTCACCCTGCCAGTATTTAGCCCTGGGAACGCCCTTTGGCTCCCCACTAAGCTTAAGTGAGGGTGACCAACCCAGAGTGTGCAGCTGGGGAGCAAAAGTTAAACTTTCCCAAGCCAAATTTCAGCAGGGAAGGGGTGGGAGGATGGGACCCTGCAGGTGTCAGGGAAGGCCTCCAAGGGCATGTATTCATCCATGGACAATGAAAAAGCCTCCTCTATGAAGAGGGGCTCCCTGAGTGGACATGCTTTCTCTCAAAAAGCACCCCTCAATACAGTTGCTGCTCTTGATAAAAGACAGCTGCTTAAATGCCTTGGACAACTCATTTGTGGTTTTTATTGCAATTATTTGTTATGTTCGAAACAGATTTCATATATGTATATAGTTTTAATTCTATTGATGTTTAATCGGTTTTTTAAAAATGTTTTTAGTGAGTCATGTTTTTATCTGTAAGCCACTTTAGAAACCTATAAGGGAAAAAGCAAGGTATGAATAAATATTATAATAATCGGCTCAAGAAAACCCTTTGTTTCCTTGATCAAGTTTTCAGCGCCCCCCTTCCATGGCTGCATTTCAGTAAACAAGCAACCCCCCACAAAACCCAAATATGTGGGAGACATGAGCAGGCTGCCAACATTTTATCTAGTTTGGTTCTCAATGAGGGGGATAAAGTGTGTGGGTGTCTCGACTGTACTAGCTGTGCAGTTATATTAAACATGCCATTTGCTGGTGTGTGTGGCTGCCTTAACTTGTATTTCCCAATAAATGAAGAATATGAAGCACATTCTAGCAAAGAACACAAGTCCTGCATGATCATAGCAACCAACTGTTCTGCTTAAGAACACGCATCACAGAACGAGCAAGGAAACGTTTACACATTCAAAAGAAGTTTCATTTACTTTAAGATCTGAGAAGAGGATACTCAACAGCCATGGCAAAGCGGAGGAAAAGGGCTCACCTTTATAATCTTTTCCACACCTGAGGAGCAGATCATGTAGGTGTGGGGATTAAATCGGACCTGATTCACAATTGAACGATGACCTTTCAATACCATAAATGCACCATTAACCACCCTGCCGATTCCACCTGGAAAAAAACAGCAACAGAAGAGAATAGCTCCATATACCAAAGAATGGCTTGTTTGCACTGAATTTGAAATACTAGCTGTGTACAGCTACAGGCCATAAGTCCACCACTGCCCTTATCCCACTGTGCACCTTCCACTAAATTAGTCACTATTTCATTGGCAGCAAGTAAAACTGCCTTAAGTCAAGGACACCCTGACTCTGGACTATGCCAGTGGTGAAATATTCAAAAACTCCAGTAAGCCTGCATCCATGCATACCACATATAGTTGTGAAAAACAGCGTATTGATAACCAATGTAACTGGAACAGAACAAGCTGAAGATAGGAATGCCTTGTGGAGACGTACAGCAGCATTTCTCATCAGATGAAGCTTCCAAATCATAGTCAGTCTTTCCCTTAGCAACTTCAGAACTATGGGCAGGCAGATAGATGGCCATTCCATTTTACTATACTGTTGGTACTAACTATTATCCAGAAAGTAAAGTAGTGATGGCCTCAACAGAGATGGGAAGAAAAGCTACTTCAAGTAAAGGGCAAGCCAACACAAATGCTTTTGTTTTTATCTACTCTCTTGGTGGTTTACCAATTGATTAGTCACTGTAATGCTTATGGCAGATCCATTCCTTGATCCAAACCAGGATTCCAGGTTGCTCTGAGTTAAGTGTAGACTAGTTCACCCCAGGACTTACAGTAGGCAGACTGGGGGAAAGGGAATTCTGGAAGGAAGAACAGCAATCTGCACGTAGCTGCAAGTAAGGAAGGAACTCTAAAACAAACCTGCTATCTAATAAGACACAGTACACGTCCTGGTTCTTATGTTTCTAAGAATTCCAGGTCTCTGAACCCAACCGGTCTGTGTCTCCTTTTTCACAGGAGAACTACATTCACTTGGTCATACAAATATAAGGCTGGGTTGGTTCGGTCATCAAAACCATGGACCTTTAGGCAAGTCTTGACAATTACTTAGAAGTGCTGAAAGTACTGAAGAGAACCAAGTTTTCTCCAAAAAGCCCTTTGACTGTAGCGCTTGGCAGCACAGTAAAGAACTTATTACTTCATGTATTTCAGCTTGGTCACTCAACCGCACTGCTCAACAAACGATGCCTCTGGAAGCCCAGAAGTGGAACATGAAGGAACCTTCATTTTGTTTTTTAAAAAACAGCCATGTTGGGGACACAAAAGTAGAAAGCAGTAACACTCATGACAACATACATAGACCAACAAAGAGCTAAAATTAAAGCACTAAACTTAGTGCATGTGTGTTTCAGTAGTTGTTAATATTGTGAATATGTAATGCTTTTTGTGTGTCTTAGCTGTTGCATTTCTAAACTGTTACATACTCGGATTGATTGCATCAATGAATAGCACAGTGTTAGGTGAAAAATACAGATACCTGTATTCCCCACCCCTACAAGGCAAAGAGCAGCTAAGGGGGAGAGATGATTTTGATTAAGGCGGCGATGGGGACGAGGATATATACATACACGTCACACACAAATCAGGAGAACTTCAGTGCTTCCAAGCAGACATGCAAAGGATTGCAAACATCACTGAGTTTACACAAAGGTATGCATGTCCAGGAAGGCGGCCCCAATAATGCACCTCTTGCATAAATTGCTAATATTGTAGAATAGTGTTCCCCAAACTTATAATGATTGTATACCTCTTTTGAGAGGTTATACCAGTGGTAGGCCTTTTCGGGAGAAGATAATTTGTAGTTTTAATATCTAGACTAGAGCAAATTCTGCCATGTACCCTTTGAAACTCTTCAGTGTAACCCTGGGGGTATGCACACCACACTTTGGGAAACACTGTTCTAGAAGACTGCTTTTCCTAGTGCTATTAACTTAATTTGGAAGATTCTACAGGAACACTCACCTGCTTCTGGATCCGGAGGAATTCTCCACATGTATAAATTAAAGTCATCAGAGCCAGAGAGGATGTACTGTTAGAAATAAAAATACTAGTAAGTTACAACAAATTCACCACTAAGGCAGCCCTTGAAATATACATATTTGGAAGATTCCAATAGCTTGATTATATGAAGCAATATATATAGTCTACATGCCTAGAATTCGTATTGTTCGTGTGGTGGCAGGTCAAGGACTGAAAATATAAAGACCAGGGATTCATGATAAACCAGTGGAGAGAGGGAAGGCTTTGATTTTAAAAATCAACAAAAATGATAAGCTACAATCTAATGCATATTTACTTTCCAGTCCCATCGAAATTATACCCATAAAAATCATGCTACACAAGTCAAACACCTGCCCCTGTTCTAGTCTTCATTTATGATTTATTTGCTTTAACATCAATGGAATTCTCCCTCAAATTCACTCAATATGCCCACTGTATGAAAGTTCAAAGTACAGTACTGATAATTTTAAAAGCTTCCTTCCTCAAAGTACATTACTAGTCTGTTTAGCTGAAAAAAGAAAATAAAACACATTTACCGTATTTTTCGCCCCATAGGACGCACTGCCCTATAGGACACACCTAGTTTTTTGGGGGGGGGAAATAAAGAAAAAAAATTATTTCCCCCCCAGGCACGGGGCTGGCACGGGGGAAGCCCGAGCTTTGCCCGACCCCAGCCCCCAGAACAGCCTGCTATCTGCAAGCCTAGGGAGCCGCGCCAGTCTCCCCAGGCTTGCGGACAGCTGTGCGAAGCCCAGACGCGCTCTTCAGCGCGCCCAAGGCTTCGGAATGCAGGCAGCTCTGTGAAACCCTCCGGAGCCCGGCACGGCTTGGCGCCGGGCTCCGGAGGGTCGCGCAGAGCTGCACGGACCCCGGGAGGGCAGGCAGCTGTGCGTGACCTTCCAGAGGCCGGCGCGGCTTGGCGCCGGGCTCCGGAGGGTTGCGCAGAGCTTCCTGAAGCCTGGAGAGCGAGAGCCTTTCGCTCTCCAGGCTTCAGCGAAAGCCTGTATTCGCCCCATAGGACGCACCCACATTTCCCCTTCATTTTTGGAGGGGAAAAAGTGTGTTCTATAGGGCGAAAAATACGGTACACTTATAGAAGAACTGGGAAACTGCAGAGGTATGCAAGTGCTAACGAACTGGCCATTTCCTACCACAATTTTAAAAGTTGCATATGGAGCTGAAGTGTTATGAAAAAAGGAAGAACACCTGAGAGCAACTTTGTGGGGATACAGAAAGTTATGTCTTTTACAATATTTGACCAATCTCCAGTCTGTGCCAACCTGATGGCCAACAAAGAATTCCTCATATTTGTAACCCAGTAGCACAAAGAAAGAAGGGAAAATAAGGCAAAAGTTTAGTTTTTACCCCTTATACAAAGTTGATTCAATTTTAATCAAAGAGCACTTAAAATACTTTACAGGCAGAAACTAAACAATTAGAGTAGCCAAACAAATTGACAAAGTAAATAAGATGAAGATCCTTCATTCTCAAGGACTGAGAAATAAAAACAAGCAGCTGTAAAACACACAGTACACTCCAATGTGGAGAAGCCTAGCTGCTTTACCGAACTTGGATGTGCTCATTCCAACTGCAAGGATATTTTGTCCTCACCCTAACCAGAATTCTCAAAATGTAAAGTCAAGGTGTTCTGGCACTCCAGCCTAGTTACTGCCAGAAGAAAATAGTCACACAAGGAACTCCTTTCCATGTGAAATTTTATAGAGATCTGCTTATAAGAGGACAGCTTTAGAGAAGTGCTGCCAGTGGAGTCCCTTTTGGCAAATGTTAACAATGTCCAAAAAAGGATCTAGCACAGGAAAGTTGCTCAGGCTGTAGATGTGAATGCAACTACACATTTCCTCCCAATAACTAAAAAGTATCTTGCACTTAACAGCCAGCCAAATGCAGCCAACACTCTGCTGGTGGTTGGTGAGTTTCACTAAGCTTTCACAATTGCAAGTGTCCCAACACACAGTTGTAGCATAGTCACTCAGTTTAATAGTCTTAGTGTAGAAGAAGTAGCAGTAATAATAATTCTATTATTTATTCCCCACCCTTGTTTGCGTGAAGGTTCCTCAAGAGATGAAGTTTCCTAAAAGAAGGAAAAATGAAGACCCATCTCTGTTCTAGTCAGTTGTTTTTTAGGAGCGTGGTCAGAGAAGCTGCTCTTGTAGGATAATATGAAGAAAGTTGTTAAGAAATATATGCCGCCTGCTGTGTCTCCAGCACTGAGGATACATCACATGAGACACCATGGCCTGGTTCACAAGGCCTGCAAAACCAGACCTTACCTTACTAAGCCTGTGCTGGCTCCTGGAGAGAAGCTTATAGCCGCTGTGCTCCTCCCTGGTCATTTTTGCTGCAGCACTGTGCCAAAGCACGTCAGGGTTGGTTTCGTGTGTTGTCTGAACTTGGGCTCATGGCTAAGCTCTCTCCTTCCTAACCTAGTGGTTAGCAAGCAGAGAGCTGAACCACAAGCCCCAGTTCAGACAACACGCTAAGCCATGCAGCAAATGGGACTGGAGGGGAGAAAAGGTGCTGCAAGCTGCTCTCTGGGATCCTGCACACTTGCGTGGTTTCCCTAATTCAAGGTTTAGCTTAGCGTTTCATGCAAATCAGGCCCAAGCCTACTCTCAGGAAGTGTGTGACCTAAAGCAGCAAAAAAAGTGCTTCTCATGCCAACCCCCTCCCCATTTCCTACTCCCATCAAGATCTCCAAACATTAAAAGAATGTGTTCAAACACAACATTAACAGTCTTTTGGGGGAAAATATTCAAAGTCATTTGATGAGCAAAGATGTAAATCATCCTCCATCTGTGACTAGCTGCAAACAACCGAAAGGGGAGGGGAGGAAAGGCTTTTGGATGACAAGCTGCTGATTCAGAAGTTTGCCTTAGAAGGAAGAAAATTCCCAGGCATGGTTAATAGCTGTTGCTGCACAAAGCAGCAATCCCAGAACTCTATAAACATGCCTCAATTGTTTAGAATGAGCCATCCTCAGACTGCTGGCTCTGCTGCTTCCTTGCCTGCCTGAACCTCCCCTCCCATTTCTGCCCCAAAAGGAGAACATACTACAGGCAACTTATGCAAAATGGAATATGATCAGCAGCGGTTACTGCGGTCTTAATAGCAGTGCTTTTTGCACATTCTGGAATTCAGCCACCAACAGGAATAAATTTTTCTTAACTACTGTCTGCTGGAAAATGGTCGGCATCTTGAAGCTTTTATATTTCCGTAGGTTTTGCTGAATGCAAAGTATTAAAGAGGAAAATTAAAGCCAGCCCTTTTCTCTTGCTCCACATTTGCTTGCTTCTTTTGTGTAAGGCAATTCATGACTGACAGAGCTTCTTACATCTTAAAGAGCCGAATTACACATTAGGTTAGCTACATAACTGGGCCTTTTAAGATTTTTTGTTTTTACACAGTTCACCAGCACAGGGCTCCCAATGCTTATTAGCACCCTAATGTGGAGGACTGGAGTGTTATTAACCCTTAATCTCTCAGCTATGACACCAAGAAATCCCCTCTCCTCCCCAGAGCACTTTTACACTTCAATTAATTGCTTGCTGTTGTTCAGATAAGGAAACAAATAAACAAATGTTGCTTTAAAAAATGGATGGCCTGCTTGACACCACAGGTATGGGATATGACTGACAACTAGACCAGGTCTTAAGAGAAGAGTGGCTTGTCTAAAGCCACCCACACCGTTCCCAGCACATGCAACTTCAAAAATTCGGTTCAGTTTGGATTGCCATCTTCACACTTAAGTGCCGTTGAATCTTTCCCTTAGTTCCCCACCCTGCCAACAGCAGCACTCGAAAAAGTTTCCCAGGTTGTTGTTCTGCATGAACTCTCAAGTCTGTGGCAAAAGCCAGTTCCTACTCTCAAAATAGTCACAGGACAAAGAGCAGCTTCCTATTTTACATCTCTTCAGATATATAAAATTCCATAAATTTTGAAGCAAATGAGGGTTGCTATAAATTTCAATACTGATAACTGCAAAACCAATTGTTCTGTTTTGTGATATGCTGCTTATTTAAACAAACACGTTCTACAGCTCTGTACACACAAATGTGCACCCAAAATATAACAACTGATAATTAGGCAGAAAATCAGGAATGACATATTTCTGGAAGCAAGAAAAGGCATAAAATAAAGGTATGCTAATAAGAGTAAGCTATTGGGGATAAAAATTACTTCAACATCCAACTGTTCAGATTAATTCCCTCACTCTTTGACCACTCAAATATAATTCTTCAAAAAAAAATCCTAGCCTTCAGCTGTTTGAACAGTATATATCATGTCAATATCAGAAATTAAATACATGGCCCTGTCTATATTTGCTTTCAATGTAATAGGTCTCATAATAGCCACTGCTGCCCCCCACTGGCAGTATAGGGTAATTCCAGCGTTTCACCTCAGTAAGCTTGCTACTTAAAGTTACCAAGAATATATTTCTTACGGCCTTAATGAAAACATTCAAAATTAATCATTGTAAATGCATTTGAAGATATTCAGAAAACCTTCGTAAGGTGTATTTAGGTCATCATTCCCTGCAATCCCCTGTTCATCATAGAAGTACAACTGTTTCAACATTAAAGGTAAAGGTACCCCTGCCCGTTCGGGCCAGTCTTGCCAGACTCTAGGGTTGTGCGCTCATCTCACTCTATAGGCCAGGAGCCAGCGCTGTCCGCAGACATTTCCGGGTCACGTGGCCAGCGTGACAAGCTGCATCTGGTGAGCCAGCGCAGCACACGGAACGCCGTTTACCTTCCCGCTGGTAAGCGGTCCCTATTTATCTACTTACACCCGGGGGTGCTTTCAAACTGCTAGGTTGGCAGGCGCTGGGACCGAACGACGGGAGCGCACCCCACCGCGGGGATTCGAACCGCCGACCTGACGATCGGCAAGTCCTAGGCGCTGAGGTTTTACCCACAGCGCCACCCGCATCCCTTGTTTCAACATTAGGCTTGTAAAAAATGGTTTGTCCACATCTAGTTTATAATTTGAAAACAAGCCTGTATGCCTGGTGGAATTAGGGAAATCTTATCAGTTAAACTTAGAGAACAGCACTGCTTCTGAGAGGGAATTCACGTGGTATGAAGTAGTCAAGTGCCTGCCCTTTCCAACTAAAACTGATACAGTGGAACCTCAGTTTTTGAGTGTCTTGGAAGCTGAACAATTCAGAACCCGAACGCTGAAAACCCGGAAGTGAATGCTTCCATTTTTTAACTAGCCTCAGAATGCTTAATGTTTCCTACCCTGAACCAAGGCAAATTCCTAGTGCTGTAAAAGCATGCAAAAAAAATTCCCCAAGGTTGGAGGGCGGGGGGAGAATGCTGCCAGTTCTATTCTTAAGTGGCACTGAGCAAGTTCCCTAGTTTATTTAAAAACAAAACAAAACAGCATGTAAATGAGCTGTTTTAGCCACTGCTCTTTCTAGGAGCACCATGTTGAAAGGCAAAGCCCAAAGCATCCTGACCAGAGTCTTTCAGTGTGCAGAACTCATCCTAAGGAATGCTGGAAGAGCAACCCAGTGACTGCTGCATTCCTGAAACTTTCCTGCACATGCATAATATCAACAAAGGAGACTGAGTGGTGATGTAATGTCTGAGGACATGCCACAGAGTAAAGATAATTTTAGTTTTATTCAGAGAGCACACGTTAACTCTTGCTTGAAAAAAGCAGCAAAGTAGTGCTTTTTATTACTGGTGGCCCGGAGCTTTGCTACGTCTTCAGCGAAGCAAAAGGGAGAGGGAAAAATGAATTTCAGAACTAAGGAGAAATGAAAGAGGCAGCACTGATCTAAAACAAAGGAAATTTCTCATCAAGTCTTGGGAGTCATTCCCTAGAAGGCTGAGATCTTGCTAAAGAAATTCATATTTCACCAAACTTTACTCACTTTTTATTGATAGAGGAAGCAACCTAAGTAGAAAATTGGAGGGAGATGACACATGCATGACTCCCGTGTGACACAGGGAGGAGTCAGGGGTGGAGCCAAACACAATAGCAGTGCAGGTTCAATGGCTGGTGACTCCTCCTTTCTGGAGCCTGGCCTCCTCCTCCTGCCACTTGCCCGGGGCTGCTTCCCCTCTGTGGCAGCAGGAGAAGCAGCGTCCAACCACTGAATCAGCACTGCACTCAGCTCCACACACTGCCTCCTCTGCAACTGATTGTTCTCAAAATTGGGGTGGCACCCCCCATATTTTATGGGAGGGGTGAAGGGACCTGGGCCGCTTAGAGTTGGCGCCTATGTGATAGCATCAGTGCAGCTACAAAAAACTAGACTCCCCTCCCATAATGCTACCAAAACCAGGCATTCTGAAGACTGCTTTTTCTCCTCTCCCTTCCGCTGCCTAAATAAAATATATGCAAGTTCCCAACAGCATTCATTTTTAATTTTTCTCAAGCCCCCTCCCCCTCTCCCAACCATACTGCACCAGGCTTCTTCTTTCCTCCTCTGTAACAAAGGAAAACACTCGCCCCCTTCCCAAAAAAATGGTGGTGCAACTGGCCTGAGCCACATGAGGTCAGATAAGTCATCATAACCTACTAGATCATCAATATCCTAAAGAGTAGGTCTGAAGACACATGGGGTCATCACCATGCAGAAACAAAGCAGCTCTGAGTCTGGTCGGTGCCTGGGGGGTGACTGAACCACATGCACCCCCCCCTTTGGATTCCATGATGAAAACACGTGGGATATAAGTTTAAGAAATATGTAGAAACAAAGGGAAAGCAAATAAGCACATTATCATCTTTCTAAACATTTGCACCAGTCATCTCAAATCAAGGCAACATGGTGTACAACCTACTCCCAATTAACATTTCTGCATTAGCCAAGGCACGATTCGTATGGAAATATAGCCATGTGACAGCTCTGCATGGTGCGCCATTTGCTTGCAACTATTTGCTGTGAAGCATGGTCCAAATTCTTGCATACCACAGTAAAATAGTGAAACGCAGCAAAGCCATGTTGCAAGCAGCTGTATGCACTAAAACAGCTGGCCATGTGGGGCTTTTTTGGAATAAACTCGTATGATGCGTTGATGGAGTGGAAACTGAGCCTTAGCCACCACAGTTCCATTACCTTGTTTAGTATCAAAGTATTTCATTTCCCCACTTTAATGTGTCTAGTCTGAAAGTCACATTAGTGGGGTGAAGTGGACAGTGGATTTCAACCAGAGACATACAATTTCTAATGACCACCCAGGTGAGGAGCTCAGTGGACAACCTGGGTCAACTACCATCTCTTGGCTTACTTCACCCCATAGGGTTGGCTAAGTTATTGGGGTAGGTTGTCCAGGTCTCTCAGTTTTAACACCCTTCTTTGTTTTAAGCAAGGGGGAAACTTAAATATAGGCACACTGACCCTGTGTTTTAATGCCATGCCATCAATGCTCTTGAAGTGCCCACTGAGCCAGTATGGTGTAGAGGTTATATTGTCAGACTAGGACCTGGGAGACTGGGGTCCAAGCCCCCACCTGGCAGTGAAACTGACAGGATTAATTTGCATTGGTCACTCCCTTTCAGCCTACCTCACAGGGTTGTTGTGGGGATTAAACAAGGAGGGAGAGAGCCATATATGCCACTTTAAGATCCTTGGAGAGCAAGGTGGGATATAAATGCCACAAGTGAAATATTTATTCAGCTCACAGACTTGGCAACTGAGGCTCTTTACCTGATCGCGATCACCTGCAAAACAGCAGCTTTTCATGGTACAAGAATTAAAGTATCCTTGGTTGTCAAACTGGAAGACAGGCAGACGGGAGTGGATGTCATAAAGGACTGGTGGCAGCCGACGTCTGAGAGCAAGCAGCTGTGTTCCATTGCTGTTAAACCGCACACTCATGGCACTCTGAAGTGATAGATTCCCACCATACCGGAGCAGGGAACTAGGAAACAAGAAACCAGAAAGAATAAGATGGGCTGCCGCAATTTAACTACCATGAAGCCTCTATCAGCCATCCCTCCTTATCACAACAAGGCAGGAAGGAGTTCAAAGGAGGCAGAATGTCTATAGATGTGTAACTGTGTTCCATGAACCACACTTCTCCATATATTACTCAGACGTCCTAAATAAATTTCCAGGAAGGAAACGTTACTGAGTATCCAATAAGCCACCCAAGCTCTATACTTAGGACTAACTTATGAATTAGATGTGCCGCAAAATTTCAGTTCGATTTTTGGCAAAATCTCAGACAAGTAGCAATGTTTATTTCAAGTCCCAAATCCAGTTAAGAGTATTTGCTAAAACTTTGGCCACAATTAACTCATTCTAATAATTTCAGACGGACATGCAGGTTCAACTTTAAACTGGATCATGGTCTACAACTATAATTCCCTGCACTTACAAGGAAATAATCTCTTGTTGAATTCAGGAGGACTTTAATAAATGAACAATAATATTTCAGCTATTTATATACAGGTTTCTCAGTGGTGTACATACAAATTACAAAAGACGTACAGTAGATAAAATTAATTTAAAATTAATCACAAAACAGGAAACTAAATAACCTCTTGAATAGCCTCTGAGGTTCAAGAGGGAGGGAGCCTTTCTGATCACATCTATTAAGGCATTCCAAAGAATTGGGAATAAAATACTCAATGCATGGCATCAGATGGATACAAACTGTCTATCCAAGTCACAGAGGAACTATTAAGATAGTAAATATAAATAGGGTTTGGCTCCCAGTGGACCACAGAATTTATTGCGGCAAAAGCATTCATAACTCATTCACCTTCTGTATCATAAGCAGTGCTTTTCTTTTGCTAAAAAAAATGAGATGCTGGTTTGCACACTGATCAGAAGTACCATGGAGGCCAGCACAAAATGATTTTACAGACAGCAGGATTAGAATTTTAAATTAACAGTGGTAAAAGTATTAAACTATTGAAAATCAATCTTTCCCAGCTACTGAATGTCATTGTAACTAAAAACAGTTTTCAGTTCATCCAAATGAAGTCTCGCAGTCAGAGAAGCCAAAAGAATGTGATTCTTCCTTCTCATTTCCAACCAGCTTCCTGCCCCTTCAAACCTCTCTTCAATCTTTCACAAAAAAATTATACTGGAGTGTAACGTCCTCAGCCTCTTCTATACTGTTACAAATGTCTACAGATCAAAACTGCTGTTAGTGACAGGCCAAGCCAAGCCAAGCTTTGCTTCTTTTCCTGGTCTGGTAGCAACCCTATCATCAATCTATTTCCCCCTTGCTCACATGACAATTTGCTTGGAAATACTAACAGTTTTCAACAGAACGTACAGTACTGTATACAAGCTACAATGGTAAATTAAATCTTCTGTGCAAGGATGGAGCCCCAGCTATACGATTGGTGCTAAATAATAATATGCAGCAGCTAAACCAGGTTGAAAACCTAGCTTGGTTCCCCATCCCAATTTATATAAACAAGAAGACGGTTATTCCACAGCAATTCCTTTAGCCTTACTTGTTGCTTCACATAAACATCAGAAAGAACTTTCTAACAGCTGTTTGACAGGGGAACAGACTCGCATGAGAGGTGGTGGACTCTTCTTCCTTGGAGGTTTTTAAGCAGAGGTTGGATGGACACCTGCCCTGTATGATCTATTTCATGGGTCGGAAAATGAAGGTCCGTGGGCCAGAACAGGCCCAATTGCCTTCTGGATCCTGCCCGCAGACGGTCCGGGAATCGCTCCGTGGATCGCAGAGCGTGCGTTCTTTCCCTCTCCCTCATAGGGCGGCAGCGCCTCCTCCCTCCCTCCCTCCTGGCTTCTCCCCGCCCTGCCTAGAGGAGGAAGGAGGCTGGGCTTTGTTGGTGCCAGCAGCAGCAGCGTTCAAGCAGCCACCATCTTAAGCAGCCCCTCTCTGGAGTCCTTTTGCGCGCCGCTCATTGTCTTGCCACTGCCGCCACCAGTGCCTGCTGCTCGCAAGACACAGGTGGCTCGTGGTGCTCTTGCATCATATCAAAATATAGTCCGGCCCCACACAAGTTCTGAGGGACAGTGGACCAGCCCCTTGCTGAAAAAGTTTGCTGAAGCCCTGATCTAGTTGATATTGCAAGGGGTTGGACTTGATGACCCTTGTCGTCCCTTCCAACACTACGATTCTATGATTCTATATTATGAATTCCTCTACATATAAAGTATTTCCTGTTTATTAAACTTGCAAATATATTACCATATGTCGGTATTACTCACGGTCCCTTCCAACTTGACGATTCTATGATTCTAAACATTTAACCCTCTACACTGCAGCAGAATATGTGAACAGGCCATGGTGATGTCATTTGCCACAGATCCTATACAAAATGATAAATGAAGCAGGATCTGTGGAACAGCAACATTTTGGGTCTTAATCCAAGAATAGATTTTTTAAAGGTTAAATCAGTTTTTACCAGCAGCTAACAGACAAATGAGAAGAGAGAGGATATGACAAATGGGAGCTACTGTCTGCATCAGCTAATGGTTTCCTTTCCAGGAAAAATAGACAAGATAGTCTAAATAAAGCTTTTCTCCCTTTGGCAAGTTTTATGGATGGATTGTTTTCCTGAGGCTTGAAAACAGCCACTTACTGCCAACAAAGTGCAAAAAAGGAAGGCATAGCACGAAGTTGGGACATTTTTTAAAAGAAAAAGAAAAGCGAGAGGAAGAAATGACAACAACTGTATTCATAATACGAAATCTGCATATCGTGATCTGACACACCTGACTGAATTGCAAGCTTGCCAGGGGTGTCAGGAAATTACAGTCACTGAGGCGGAGGAGGAAAGGGCTGAGGAATGGGCAGGAAAGAGCTGACAGATTCTAGCGCTGCTGTTTACAGTATAATGGGGGTGGGGGAAGCAGAGAGACTTTAAAGGAGAAGGAGGACTCAATGCCCTGAACACTCAACACACAAGAACAGACTAATACACAGTAGTTAATACAACTGCCAAGCTAATATTTTAACCCATCTGATATTTTTTGACTGTGCAATAATGATTTACGGTAAGAATGGCATGGGGGGGGGGGGAGAGAGACCCAAAAGTTAAACAGGAAAAGTAAAGTTAATTTAAATCAGGCATAGGCAAACTCGGCCCTCCAGATGTTTTGGGACTACAATTCCCACCATCCCTGACCACCGGTCCTGTTAGCTAGGGATCATGCGGGTAGCAGTCCCAAAACATCTGGAGAGCCAAGTTTGCCTAAGCCTGATCAAAATGGTTTATCAAGGTGAATGATAAGCATACAAAAGGTTAGGGGAGAAGAGGATATTGCAAGGCAGGATTTTAAATTGCCTTTGAAGGTGGAAGGTAAGTCTGTGCAGACTTACAGAGCTATCCTATCACATCCCAGATAGCAAATTCATTCTCCCAGTGCTTATCCTTATGCAACTAACATGGCACCATCAATGCACAAGAAACAGCCACAAGCAGGCTTGAAGAAGCACAAAACAATATTTAAAAGCATGTTCCGCAGGCACTGGATCCTTTCTGGCTGTTGTGGGAAGAAATGGAAAAATGGGGTGAGGAGAGAGGAAGGGAGTATCCAGTCCAAGGCACAGCTAGAACCCTGCCCTCGAGCACACATGGCAACCGTTTGTTGCAGATCCGACCTGAAGGACTAAATTTGCTTAGAATATTCAAGTGCCTATTTGTTAGCAAACCAAAACTGAACCATCCACGTTGCTTTATGTGGAAGTAAAAATGTCAAGGTTTTTTTAAAAGCAACATGAGCCTTGTACCCAGATACGCGAACCATGAAGAGCAGGCCCCTTTTAAAAAAAAAGTCACATGATGACTGATTATTGCCAGCCATTAGCAAGACCGCTGAAACAGGCAAAAATGTCACATGATGTTTTAAATCATGTGTGGGGAACCTTGCTCAGCCCAAGGGGAGACATTCCCTCATGAGAAACCTTCCAAGGGCCACATGCTGGGAGAGGGGGCGGAGACCATGGTGAAGCAATTTTAATCTTGTACAGCAAGCTAGTTTCTTTGCACACTCCTTTCCTCCATCCAGAGAAGCAAGAGACATTATCAGAGTTCAAGGACACATTGCAGCCTAGTCAAAATACCTGGGGCAGTGAGGGGTGAGGCCTAGGGAGAATTCTGAGGGTTAGGCATAGAGGCCTGATAGGCCACATTTAACTCCCTTGCCTGAGGTTCCCCACCCTTGTTTTAAGTAAGCAAACTGTCTCACAATTCCAGAAGTATAGCCTTTTTTTAAAACCTTACAATGGCATAAACCTTTATCGACAAGTCTAGGAAGTCCAAATCTAGAAAACAGTCCTGGAATGATTATGCTTTGTGGCCTTAGGATTTGGATGGATAATATTCACCAATGTATAAATTGCCACACTTAGTTCTATATATGCTACCATGTATTGGCCTTACACACATTGTGATTTGTTGGCACCTCCTCGTGGCGGAGAAGCCTCATAACAGCTTTGTTTAAACCACCCACGCTATTCAGAAGAGAAATGTTTGCTTGTGGTCTCAAACAAGAGCAGAGGTTGCTTGAATGACCTTCTAAAGAAATCAAAAAAAGGCCTGGGACAGCCCATGCCATGTCTTTTGCCAACACTCTACATGCATTCCATTTCTGAGAGGTTCTTTTATATCAGAACAGCACAGCAGGTTTGGATAGGAGTTGTGCACTGTTGACACAGGAAGCTGCCTTCCACCAAGTCAGGCCTGTGGTCCATTGAGCTCAGTATTGCCTATGCTGACTGGCAGCAGCTCCCTAGCATTTCTGACAAGCATTAACTACGTTTGGACCAACCTAAAAACATTTTTGTAGTTAAGACTGGAGAAAGGGAAGCTCACGGCTGAGAGGAGAGAGGCTGGAAGATAGCATGCATGGCTGGAAGAAGCTTTTAACCACAATTGTTTTTAGAACATGTTAACTCTTTTAGAATGGTTTTTTATCATTTATCTGTTTGCTACTCTGGGGAGGAAGGGGGACATAAATTCAGTAAATGATTCCCACGATCCCTTTGTTGGCGCCTGGAAGGAGTCAGCAGGTGCTTTTACACGAGGGCTTATACAGCCAGTCCTCTTTCACTTTCCACACAGAACCTATTTTTCCTTTATCTCAAATCCTGTAATCCAGGGGTGGGGAACCTTTGGCCCTCCATATGCTCTTGAGCTACAATTCCCATAGCCCACAATCATTTGCAATGCTGTCTGGGGTTGATGGGAGTTAGAGTTTAACAACATCTAGATGGCCACAGGTTTCTCACCCCTGCTGTAACTCCTGCCCATACTACAAATGCACAGGTGTTTTTTTAACCTTCAAAGAAAGGCAAAAAGTTACCACTGTGTGGTTTCACACAATTTGCTATTTGTGTAAAAATGAGAGTACATAACATACAAACTTAATGTGGTTGCAGACCATCATGAGATACAAACATGCAAATAAAATAAAGCACATAAGACTTAAAGAGGAGAGGGATAAAAGAAAATAGTTAAAACTGGTTATAACTCACATAAACTTGAAGCAGACAGAAACAAAAGACAAGCAGTTAAAAGCAGCTATAAGGGAGGGAATGTGAAGCAGCACAGGACTTGCATTATGGGCCTTCAGTTTAGGCTTGGTTTGTGACACAAACAATCCTTTGACATACCGTATTTTTCCGTGTATAAGACGAAGCTTTTTGCTAAAAAAAAAAATTGGGTGTTGTCTTACACACCGATAGTGAATGCAGAGGGGGGACGTGCGAATAAGGGCAGCAGCAAGCAGGAGATTGGCAGTGGCGATTGATCGGATGACTGGTGGTTGCAGCAAGGCCTGCTGGCAATTGGCTGTGGCTATTGGGCAGGCGATTGGTGGCTGCGGCAAGTGGGCGGGTGGGCTGTTGGTGGTGGTAAGCAGGCAGACAATTGGCAGCAGCGGCGAGGTGTGCGATCGGCCGTGGCTGTGGCAAGCAATCGGCAGTGGCGGGCAGGTGGGTGAGCGATTGGTGTAAGTGACCTCCCCCACCCCCCCAAAAAGCTAAACAACTTAATTTCTTAATTTTGAGTTAAAAAAATAGGGGGCGTCTTATAAATGGGGGCGTCTTATACATGGAAAAATACGGTGTGTCCATCATGGCAGTGCAAAATCTAGCAACTGAGTATGTGACATCTGGGTTTTCATACTAGAATAGTAGGGAGATACAAAGTCGTTCTGTACATCCTGGGAGTTTGTATAGTACAAGCAGGATGAACCTAGCTCGTATGTCTGTATAATATTAGCAGTGAAACTTAACATGCTTGTTATCACATTAGACTTTTGTTGCGCTATTGTACTGAGATTTTAAAATTGGCAGATTCAAGCCAGGAAGAGGCAATGATGGGGAGGGGCACATTCCTGGCAAGGTAGTGGTGGAGGTGCAGGCAGGCAATGGTAGATATAGGGCAATGTAGATAGAGCCACGGTCTTTAGCTACATCGCTGCCCACATCATCCAAGTCTCTTCCAAAAAAGGAGAAATGACAGCATTATAGCAATCTCTGTATGCAAGGAATGTAGAGCACTCTAGCTGGAAGCCAAAACATTTGATTACAAATGGCCAAGAGATTAAGTGGGAGGTCAGTGTTGGAACGGTTTAGGAGCGATATCATCCAAATTCTCTATGAAACTTGAGTGAGCAAATCATGTCAACTACAGAAGAAAAATGACCAGCATGGAAGCACCCAGCATTATGTAGTGGAAGCATAGGGGTTCAATAGATCATTTAGTAAATTTCATTTGTTATAGAATAGGGCAAGGAGGAACAAATTTCAAAGCCAGAAGAAAAACACACTTGGATTGAATAGGACATTTCAGTGACAATAAAGGACAGCCCCATACAGAATGAGGATGGGAGACTGCTTAGTGATGCCCTCTTCACTAGCAGTTTTCAAAATAAAGTCTGGATAGACTATCACACTTGGAGCAGTTAATTCTGCTAGATGATCCATAGGTTCCTCCCATTCTGAAACAAAGTGATTTGAGAAACATATACAGAGCACACGGATACATCAACAAATTGCCATTAGGTGTGGAGAACTACTAGTCAAACATAATTTTCAACATAAAAATGTGGTCCATGGAAATTTCAAATATGAACAGCCCAGGCAGTTCAAAACTTATAGGAGCTATTGGTGAGCTGTAGGGAATTAAGAACTCAAAGCAATACCACATGCAGTTAAAAGCCTCAAAGCCTAATACAGATCAACCAGCTGCTACAGATTTATGTTCAATCATGGTCACACATATATCCAGTTTATCTGAAATGTTTCAACAGAAAAGCTAATATTACTTAGCTTTATAAACTAAGAAAAAATACACACTTAGAGAAGTTTAATTACTCCACATTACTGTTGTGGGGGAAAAGACCCACTCACCATTCTTTGCCTAATCGATCAATCCTGGCAGTGAATGCTGGGTGGGTATTTTTCCCACAACATTACCAAGCACCAAGTTCAACTGAGTTCCAGAAGGAGCTTTTTTCTGTCTTCCCACTTTCACAAAACAATACATAAGAAAGAAGAGTCTTACCTCTGAGGTTTGCGAATGTCCCAGAGTCCTACACCTTCCTTTGAGTTGGCAGTGGCGAGTAACCTGGGCTCCACTGGATTGAACATCACACTGTGAAAGGCTGATGGATAATTAGCCAAGCAGAAGGGCTCTGTTAACAAAACAAGATAAGATCAATTTACTTTTAAAGGCACAACACCTCTTGTACAATGCTGACAGCTGGCTAAACCTTTTCTTAATGGGAAATTTGTCAACCCTTTCAAGAATTTATTTAGTGTTGGTAGTCAGGTTTTATGCATCTTTCCCTAGCATTAAACAGAATTCCCACATACTAATTGGTAATTTGTGGCTCAGAAATGGACAGTGCTAGTGTACTGATGAAGTAGTATCTACTACAGAAACCATTTTTTACTAAGTGGGAGATCTTGGAACTCTGACAGAGTGGAAAATATTTTAATTTAGATTTGTGTCTTATTGAAAGAGTTTTAAATAAATTACTTTAGTATAATCCATAAACATTGCATTTACTAGCACACAAAACATTGTGGTAGTCCACAAGGGAACTTCTCATAAGTTCTTGACATTTCATCTAATTAAAACTAGATTATGGCATTAAAAGTAATGTGACACTGAAACCATTTCAATAGAGTAGAGGTTTTTCAACAGTTTTATTTCATGAGTTTAATGTGCTACAACAAGCAAGTGTAGCTGCCCCATCAACATCCTAAAGCTGGAATTACTTGTCCAAGTTGCTGAGAGAACTCTGAATCCCAAATATCTTTGCCAAATCCATACACTTTCCTTGTTACTCAGTTTTCCAGCATTCCCGCCATTCTACCAAAGGCTTGTTTGTAATAAAATCCTTAATGTCTAGCATTTCTAAATATAGGTCAAGATCTAGGATTCTATGAACAATTGCTTCCTTATTTGACCCATTTATTTTCATTCCCTAAATCATCAGACAGACTTCACTCAGATGACAAAAAAAATTCCTCATTGCACAAATCCCTTCACCGCTGAAGACACCCATATTTAAAATTGTGAATTATCAGACACTGTGGCTGCAATCCTATCCACACTCAGCTGGGAATAACACCCATTGAACATAATTGGTCTCACTTCTAAGTAAGTATGCTTAGGATTGTGTCAAAAGTCAAATAAAATTATTGCCCTTTTGAGTCATAGATCCCGTACCCAACGGACAGACATTACAGTAAACCAAAGCTTTAGCATGATGAAAGAAAGCCAGAGAGAGCCTTTAGCTCAAATACTCCCCCTTTTCTTTCAATGTGACTGATGTTGCAAAATATTGTTAACAAACCATAGTACACGACCTCAGATGACACAAGAAGTTGTAGCTAGGCAAAAGTAGTTAAGCAAAAAATAAAGAAGGCGGAAACTTCTGGACTACTCATGCTTGTGCTGAAGGAAGTCAGGAGCTGGGGGAGCATGAGATGCTTCGCTGCAGCTTATTCACTAGCTGAGACAGATGGGAGTTGGGAGACCAACAAGCTCCAGAGGGACACAGAATAGCCACACCTAGTCTACAGAAATCTTCAAACCTCAAGGATCCACAGATCCATCTTTACATTACAGGCAACTCCCAATTTATGTGTCGGTTACGTTCCAAGGCACCACACGTTTAAGTGAAATCGCCTATATTTGAAACATCATAGGAAAAGCCTGCAAACACCCTGTTCCACCCCTGCCCCGTTCTGCGGCGTTTTCAGGTCACTTCTGGGTTTGGCACAATGTGCATACATCAGACACATCTAAAATGGTCACTGCCTGTGTTTACAGGGACCTATGATGGAGATCTTCAAATATCTAAGAGCTGTCATGTGGAAGATGGATCAGACTTGTGTTCTGCTTTGCCAAAGGGCAAGATTAGAACCAATGGGTAGAAATTGCAGGGAAGCAAATTTTGGTTTGGAGGATGTGAAACTTCCTAATGAACAAGAGCTATTAGACAGTGATCAAGCTAAGCTGCCTTGGGAGGCAGCTCCCTTTCTACTCTACAACAAAAGCAAGTCTGTTATGCAGAAATATATTCAAGGGCCATCTACTCCCCTACTCTCTTTTCACTAGTCCCTAAATCACTCACAGTTGGAGGCATTTTGTACCCATATGTATGGTATCCTAATAGCAGCTTACAAGAACATCGTAGAAAAGATCTTATTTAGCTGAACTTTCAACTAAACGAGGAAATTCAAGAATTCACACATGGCTTCTACACAACCCCTGTCCAAAACCTAACCCAGCGAGTTAAATTCAACAGAGTCCTCTGCAGATCAATAGGCAAGTTCCCAGTGTACAAAGCACAGGGAGCAATTGTAAATGCTCAGCAAATCATTCTGAAAATCAGTGCATGAAAAGACTTAAAAGCAGAGGTATAACCCGGGCAGACACAGTTCATCCTTGGGCCTATGCCCAATGAACCAGCCCATACAATACTAAAGTAATCTTTGGAAGCCGTCCTCTAGGTGACCCAACTAGCAGAGATGGCGCTTCTTGGTTGTGATTATCTTCCTTTGCTTTTCCTTGAGAGGCTTTAACATGTCTTTAACATTTTATTCAGGTTTTCAAAAATCTTACAATTAACAACAGTCCTCCCTTCATTCCCCCCCCCCAACACAAAATTCAGTGCACTTATATTCCTAGGATTATGATGATTATTTTTTGGCCCAAGGTACAGATGTTTCATTTTCCCAGGCTTTTTAAATCTCCACTGATACTGGCTTAGAGTACAAATGGACCTGCTCTTTTATTCTTGTGGGAGTTTCATTTCATTTCATTGGTTTTTATTAGTGTCAGCTGCCCTAGAAATACTTGTAAAATCAAATAAGACTCCACCACAACAGGGATAAAGCAATCCATTTCACCCTTTAACACACTCTAGAGATGTGAAGTTTCTGGAAATCTCAAAGCCATGGGGCAGGGGTGGAAAGAGGACCTTCCCCCTTCAAGAACACAGAATACGGTAAATTCCAGGACGATTTAAATATATGCAATGCTAACTTTTGTATTAAACCTTCACTTGTTTTACTGCTTTAACATGGAATGCATCATTTTAAGTTTGCATATAAAATTGCACTATTGAACGTATTTTTAAAAAATTTTACAGAGCAATCCTATGAATGTTTATACAGAAATATAGTGGCACTTACTCCCAGGTAGGCACACATAGGCTTGAAGTCTCAGATGTATAAATGGCTTAGTTATGTAGCAAGGTGTCTGCAAGGTGGGAAGTTCAACTAGATGTGAAGGGTCATGCCAAAAGGACAGCATATGCCTCGTTCTTCCTTCAGGTATCTCCAAATGAGATCAAAGATCACCAGAAGGTGGCAAGCAGCAACTCACAAGCAACTAAGGTTCTAGGTGTTCCCCTCATGAAGAGATGAAGATGACAACACCTCCTAGGTGCAGAAATGCATCCTGAATTTGCACATTGTCTCTGTCTCCAGCATATATAAGAATGATCACTCTCAAAGAAGTTAAATCAGTAATGATACACTGGGCAAGAGATTTTGGTTATAATATACAGTTTTCTTCATGGGAAAAGTTATGGAAAGAGGATCTGAAGTTTACAGCCTGCTGTTCGCTGAAAGAAAATTATATGAAAATGATGTACCGTTGGTATTTGGCACCTAGTAAAACTGCGTAAATGTTTAGAACCAGTTCAAATGTGTGCTGGAAATGTAAAAGGAAAGAGGGTACATTTTATCACATGTGGTGGTCATGTGGGGTAGTAAAAGCTTTCTGGGAAATGATATATAATGAGCTGAAAAAAATGTTTAAAGTAACTTTTGTTTAAAAAAAAACAGCGGCTTTTTTGTTAGGCATTTTAACTACCAAAAGAAAATAAAAGACTGTTTATGTATGCAACGACAGCAGCAGGATGTTTCCTGTCCAGAGATGGAAAGAAGAAGTACCGACCAGAGAAGAGTGGCAGACCAAGCCGATGGAATATGCAGAAATAGCTAGACTGATGGGAAAGATGAGAAATCAGGAAGACCAAGTATTCTTAAAAGACTGGAATAACCTTCTAACGTATTTGAGAGACCATTGTAAACAGCTGAAATTATTAGCAGGAATACAATGACACTTTTAAAGTAACATGGATTGTGGATACTATGTTTATATAATACATTACAGTAAAGCATTTCATTATTTATAAAAAAGAAAACATTTCAAAATAGTCCCCCCAACATTCCCAAAATGTTCATTTTTTTTCTGTTGGAAAGTTTTAACCATCCTCAGAAAAGTGGGGAGGGGGACTAGAAAGGTATTCTTTCTCCCTCTCCCTCTGTTTTTTTCTGGACTTTCACATCTCAGGACGAATTCCCTCCAATGAGAGAGCTCACCACCATTCACACTCAAACATAGCCCTCACCTCCCTGCGAAGACTCTCTGATATCCCAAATGAGAACTCTGCCGTCATCAGATGAGCTTGCAAAAACGTTATCATTCACGGGACTCACAGAGAGCCCATACACTGCATCTTCATGGGCAAATACATCCAAGGTTTCACCGCTGAAAAAGACACAGACATCTGTTTTTCATCTTTCTCATTTAAGGCTAGGCAGGACAGTCTGCCAGGTAGCACTGAAAAATGTTACTTGAAAATATGTAAAGTCCATTATCCTGTATATGAGTAGCAGTAGGTAGAAAATTTAACAGTAGAGATTTGGAGATTGAACAGTGCAATCCTATACATGTCCACTAACATTATCCCAGGTAAATGAGGGAAGGATTGTAGCCTACCCCTGCAATTGTATGCACACTTACTTGGAAGTAAGCCCCATTGAAATAAGCGCAACCTATTGTGCATAGAATTGGGCTTTAAGTTAGCAGGAAATATCAACACACATGGGGGCTGGTATGCAAAGTGAATATTTTTGGTCCTATACACCTGGCAGAACTTATTTCCCCACACCATCCATAAAAATCACCAGTTCTTTAAACTCAGATGTTTTAAAAACTGCTTGTGAATCTGCCCCCAGGGTAGGGAGGGTTAAATATAAAAAAGGAAAGAAAGAAAGCACATACATTAGGATCTCTCCAGATCAGGGTCTTTGGCTATTTTACATTATTTGGGAAGGCTGCAGCTCTAAACCCTTACCTGGAAATAAGCCCCATTGAATTCAACAGGACTTACTTCTGAGTAGACGTGGTTAAGATTCTGCTGTATAGCTTAACAAGCCTAATGGCTCTGATACAGTTTTTCCATAGTATGTTATCTAGTAACCATATCAAGGGGAAAGACAAGAGGATGAAGATAAAATATCATGAGAAAGCAGTAAATAGAAGACAAACAAGAATGGGTGTTCGCATAGGCTTTCAGCCAACATGGTCAGGATTAGCCAACCTTGTGCCCTCCAGATGCAGCTCAACTGCCAACTCTCATTAGCCTCAGCAAGCATGGCCCATGGTTAGTGATGGCGGGAAATGGACCCCAGCAACATCTGGAGGTCACAATGTTGGCAACCCCTGTATTAGTGAAAATATCATACAACAACCGGTTAGCATTTAGGAAACACACACACACACACACACACACACACACACACACACCAAGAGTGTTCAGGCATTGCAGGTAATGCATTTACCTGTCAACGTCATGGAGCAACACTTGTTCATCATTACCTAGATGAAGAAACAGAATTTTATAGCATATTAGTAATGAAAATTGAGAAATAATGTGCTTGCAATTTTCATTTTGAAATAAAAAAAGATGAGCCTGCTACCTTTTTCTCATGGCAGCACAAGGTGTCCAGGGTAAAATTCCTCCCAATTCCCTGCTTGCTTGACTTGGACATACCCAGTAGCAGAAATGAGACGACATTTGTCCGGGAGAAGAAGTACAGGGAGGAAGTGCTGCTCGCAGTGGTAGACCTGGGGGGTCTCAAATTTCAGTGGCGCCCTGTGCAACACCAAACTTCAGCGCTTCCCCACCTCTTGCACTCCATTCTAGATCATAGTGGCAGCGCCCTCCACCCAAGTGCTCATTCTTCGGACCTCCGCAATATCGCCCTCTGCCTGGTTCCAGGGTTAGGTGCTAGCCCCCATCGAGTGGAGGAAAGTGGCTGGGAAATAAGAAGCTCAAGCATTCCCCCAGCCTACTTACCCTCCTGGTCTTGCCAATGCCATCACATTACATGCTAGAGGAAAACACAGGATCAGGACTCCTGTTTGCTGCTCAACATTGGTTTTGCCTGTCTCTGAATTGACAGCCTAACTAAAGGCTGGCTAGCCTATGGCATGCTGGCCATATCCAGTCCCATCACCAAGGTTTTTGTGAGTGCCCAAGACTACTCCTTAAATATTTATTTTTTAAACAACTTTTTATAGTTTTTAAAACATTACTGACAGCTCCTGCAGATCCCCTGCATCAAAACCTTCTGTGTGACCTTCCAAGCCCCCTACCACAGTTCTTCTCACACCCAGTTTGACACTCTGGGAATACCCACTCTGACATGCAGCTCCTAAAGGATTGATGATCATGGGTCAGTTCAGCCCCAAACAGGTTAAGCTATCCCAGCCTAGCTGAAGTCACATGATTTTTTTTATCCAGCCCAAGCATACGCTAGTTGCCTTTCCTTACCACATGCCCCTCTTGCATATTAAGAGTGTGATATAGCCCACCCACATATGGGATGCGGGTGGCGCTGTGGGTTAAACCACAGAGCCTAGGACTTGCCAATCAGAAGGTCGGTGGTTCGAATCCCCGCGATGGGGTGAGCTCCCATTGCTTGGTCCCTGCTCCTACCCACGTAGCAGTTCAAAAGCACGTCAAAGTGCAAGTAGATGGATAGGTACTGCTCTGGCGGGAAGGTAAACGGCGTTTCCGTGCGCTGCTCTGGTTCGCCAGAAGCGGCTTTGTTATGCTGGCCACATGACCCGGAAGCTGTACGCCGGCTCCCTCGGCCAGTAAAGTGAGATGAGTGCCGCAACCCCAGAGCCGGCTACGACTGGACCTAATGGTCAGGGGTCCCTTTACCTTTACCTTATAGCCCATCCACACAGAATGGATTTAGAGGATAGGACAATCTTGCTGAGCAGAAGAACTTGTTCTTCATCCTTGCTTGTCTATATTTGTTCATGCACTCTTCAGTGCCAACCTGTTATGGAGAACTGCACCAGGGGTGGATGGTGGGTGGGGAAGTGTCCTGCTGCTGATGTTCTCCTCCTTTTAAAATATGGTGGTTATATGTTAACTGAGGCAGGCAACATATTGTACTCCAAGTCACAGGCAGCATCCAGCAGAGTCTCTGAGACTCCCACAACCACTGCCCAAATAGCAATTCACAGACTACCTGGGAGGAGGAACACAATTCTCCCCGATCCAAAATATTATGCTCAGAAAAGGCAGAATTCCCTTTGCAGGGATTGTTGTTAGGATGCCAAGCCTACACAAGTGAAAAACCAAAAGTATACTGTAAAGAAAATAAATTCACAGAAAGATTCTGAAACCCTAATTTTCCATTGAAGATGTTCCCCTTGAAGCTTTTCTTCCTTACCTCCAGAAAATACTCTGGTGTTGCCACTATTAAAAGCTAGGCAGAAGATATTTGAATGATGTTCCCCTTTCAGCTGAACAGGCTTGACTCTGGAGTGGATGGCTTGTTCCATATGCCACAGTAGAACTCGGCGGTCATCTCCACCTATGTGGGAGAGTGGAGAAAAACAGCACTATAAGCATCTGCACAATTTCTGCTGAAACCAGCATTTACAACATGAAAGCCAAATTACGGAGCCTCTATTGCTGTGGCACTATGAACAGCCCCATTATAAGCAAAATCTCTTCACTGTTGCTCAGTGGTTTTCCAGAAAGAAGCGAACATATACAACAATTGCATCATCTGTGATTAGAGACAAGAGTCAACACTACGTGTTTTATTTATTGCATTTATATCCTTCCCTTCCTCCAAGGAGCTCGCGATTAGCATATACGGTTCCCCTCTCCAAGTTTTTGTCCACAACAGCACTGTGATGCAGAGTGTAACTGGCTAAAGTCACCCACTGAGCTTCATGGTCATGTAGGGACTTGAACTCCAGCTTCCCCGTTCCAAGTCTAACCACCACATCATACAAGGAAACACTTTTCCAACATGCACCATGATTAAGTGGAAAGTTTTTAAGGTAAATTAGCTCCCAAAACAATTAAATCATGGATATCTGCGATGTGCTCAATGGAAGAAACAAAAGCCTACAAAATCCTCTGACAACCTCAGGCTACAATTTGAGGAGACTTGAGAAAATTAAGGTTTTACTACTGGGTTTGTACTTAATCTCCAATCTTGCCCTTTTAAGTAGACTTGTTATGAACTGAATATACTTGGATGTGTTTACATAGCTTGCCAGAATAATAAATCCAAGCAGCAAGTCCAAGGGTATACTTCTGAGCACATCTCATCTATTTACAGGCATAATTGTAACTCCTAACAGTGCTTCCAAAGATGTCCCCAAAGATGGAGTGTTTGGAAGTGAGCACTACAGGTCTATTTCAGCTTTTGGACATAGTTATAGCCCTAGTGTATCAACAACTGTTTGCCACAGGTCTATCTACTTGTACAAGTGAAGTAATAGTATCACTCTATTCTGCCTTGGTCAGACCCCACCTGGAGTACTGTGTCCAGCTCTGGGCACCACAGTTTAAGGATATCGACAAAGATGACAAAGGGTCTAGAAGCCAAGTCACCCCCATCGTTCAGCCCAGACACTGAGATCCAGCACCAAGGGCCTTCTGGCGGTTCCCACACTGCGAGAAGTGAAGCTACAGGGAACCAGGCGGAGGACCTTCCCAGTAGTGGGGCCCACCCTGTGGAATGCTCTTGAGGTTGCCCCAGCTACTCTGGGTGGCTTCCAGCATATATAAAAACATAGTAAAGCATTAAAAAGCTTCCCTATATAGGGCTGCCTTCAGATGTTTCCTCAAGGGACTCTCCTTTATTTGAGGTTTTCAGAGACATTAGATTACCATCTGTCGGGGATTCTTTACTTGTGATTCCTGCCTAGCAGGGGTTTGGGTTAGAGAACCCTTGGGATCCCTTCCAACTCTAAAATTCAATGATGCTAGGTTGGCCATGTGTCCTACTGTACAGAGGACAGTGTACTGAACTGTAAGTTACATGTATGACTGCTGGACAGAAGTCATGGGTGTGACCTTGGTGCACTGTTCTTTAAGGAATAGCTGTGTTGAAGAATTTGAGAGAGGCAGAGAGACTGGTGACCAAGGCCATTCAGGTGCCTTACCAGAGCCTGAACAGACTGAAAATGGTCCATATAATCCAGGGGTCGGCAAACATTTTTAGCCGGCCAGTCCACTGTCCCTCAGACCTTGTGATGGGCCGGAGAAGCGGCACCGGGGAAGGGGGAGCTGGAAGAAGAGGTGAGGGGGGAAAGTAGTCATCCTCCCCACCCGCTGCGCTTACCTTCCCAGGGGTCCACCACCGCTGCTGCTTCTTGTGGGTAGACAGAGGGAGCTCATCCGCTCCACTCTCTGGCCCACAGGAGCACCAGGGCATCAGTGGCGGAGGGAAGATGAGTGGCGCGAAAGGGCTGGCTCCGGAGAGGGGCTGCTTAAAATGGCGCTCAGCCAGCCCAGCCCAGCCCAGCCCCCTTCCTCCTCTAGGCAGGGAGGGGAGAAGCCAGGAGGAAGGAGGGAGGAGGGGGCGCAGTGGTGTGTGTGGGGGGGGGGAATGGAATGGAATGGCGCGCGGGGGGGGAATGGCACAGCCCAAATGAACAGAATCCCCACGCAGATCCACGAACAGTCTGCAGGCCAGATCTTGAAGGCAATTGGGCCTGATCTGGCCCACAGACCTTAGTTTGCCAACCCCTGATATAATCTACTTCTTCCAAGCACTCTTATAGCTGAACTGCCATGAGGATCCTGAGCACCTTGCTTAACAAGGACAACTAACAACTAGGTGATGGTTGCTTAACACTTCTGGGTCCAGGGAGGTCCTCTTAAGGGGGCATCCCACTGCTTATCTAAGGGCCAGTGGTACCTCCTGCACCTGTACTGAGGCATTCACTACTCTCTGCACCCACTGAGGTAAACTCCTCTGGCTCACCTGTATAAAATGCACTTAAGTATATTCCTCAGGAAAGATGTTAACAGTGCACATAGAAATCAAGGGAGATTTCAAGATTTTTAAGTAGATAGGATTGAGCATTAGTTCGTCTGCTCTACCTCCCACCCCACCCCCCAAAAAATCCCAAACACACCCCAGTTAGGATTAAGAATGCTCAGTGGACACAAAATGCTGACTTCCTGTTGCCGAGGGGGTTGGACAAGGGGTGAGGGGGAATGGAATGGAGTGGAGTGGCTGGACCTCTGAACAGAAGCAGCTCATGCTGCAACATTTCATTGTAGGGCCCCACTTATAATTCTTATATTCTTCATATGGAATTAGGCTGTCATTCCTTCTGTGACAGGGAGCTGCTCTAGGAAAGGAGTGATAATGTTTTCACACAGAGAAACAGTTCAGATATGAGGGTATTTGTACATCTTTCAAGATCAATATTGTTCCGAATTTCTCAGGAAGAACTCAGGACTTTTGTGGATTGATCTAGGAAAGGCAGATAGGAGAATGAGTAAGAATGGTAGAACTTGGAGACTGTCAAAATTTGAGAGAGAGAGAGAGAGAGAGAATGGGAAGGGTGGGGAAATCAAGAGAGCAAGGTAAGTGTTTTGAAGAAAGATGTTGCTGGGGTGGAAAGAGAAAACAACAGCTGTTTGATGTGGTCAAACCAGCTGCAGATAATTCTAGCAGAAGAATTCTGGGTTCAATTAAGAAGGTAAAGATTGGAATAGAAAAGACAAGTAAAAAGATAACAATTAACATGAGAAACCTAAGCACATTCTGTTCATTAAAATACGTTGCTACACTTTTCATTAAGAATTTGTCTATATCAAGTAAAGAACTAACCAATTTACACTCTAATAAAATTAATAGCTCCAAATAGATAAAATTCACTTTTGAATATTAGTACCATCTCCTTTTCATTTCTAAAGAATATAGACTGCTGCAAATTTACCAATGGTTGTCATATTTGAAACCTGCTCATGTTTCACAGAAGGGACAGTCATAGCCAGAATATTACTTTAAGGCAAATATTCTAAGGTGTGCTTTTAAGGATGCATTGAATCAAGCCCTAGAAGTAGTCTAACCCTTTTATTTCATTCAGGATAAAGGAAACCTTTCCACTTTAGAAGAGCCTAGTAACAAGTTTAGGAAGTGGGCAACTTTTCTGTCAAGTAGACAAAAGAGAGACACTATGTGGAATAATGGCTCATGTGTGACTAGGATGGAGGAAACTTAAGTTCAAATCCCTACTTGGCCATGAAACTTATTGGGGCAGTCAAATACACCCAGGCCAACCTACCTCAACCTACCTAAAATGGGAAGAAGGAAAACTATGCTGGCAGAAGTGTGCCAAGGGTCCCTTAAGCCCTTGGCAATAAGCTGTATTGGCACCCCCCCAAAAAAAATCACTTTACTGCAGAGAAAGCCTGTGTTTGATCTCACTGCAACAGTGGCATTGCGTCACCAAGCACATATACATCATACACTCCATAGCCCGGTAGGTGATTTTTGCACCCTGCTCTGCAGGGGCCAGTTTCATCAACCCCTAGATACACCTCTGCATGCTCGCCACTCTGAACTCCTTAGAGGAAAGGTGGATTCAAATGTAGTAGAACAGCAGCAGTCAACAGACATTAAACATCAAGGAAAAACAAAGTTACCAAAGGAGAGCAAGATGGCAGCTGGGGAACCAAAGGTAACTAAAGATACAGGCCAGGAAAAGGTAGGCTTTGAGGAGGTATTTAAGAAGGACAAAGCAGTATGCCAGGAGGGACAGAACACCCCCCCCCAACATCCATGGGTGGGCAGTGCAATGATTGGAGAGGGGAGGGCAAACTGGAGGTTTTTAGACAATTGGTAAGAGTTGAATAGCGAAGGTCACATGCAGGGATATCACCTGAACTAAGGCAGGAGATGGAGCAAGGCTACAGAAACCTCTGAAGTTAAAGGCTTTGTACTAGATATGCGAGAACCAGTACTGTATAGGGATCTCAAGTGAGTTGCCTCATGGTCCGACAACTGTGGAGGAGGACAAGGGTCCAGTACATTTACTAGCTGGGCAGTTCAGAGAGTGTCTGCAAGTGAAATATCCTGTCATATTTGTACAGGGGGGAAAGGCTATACCTGCCAACAGTCCTCTTCTATGCAACAAATATTCCACAAACCATAGTCTTGTGAATCTGGTCTCTAAATAAAATGTGTGTTTTCCCATATATTTGAACCTAATTATCCAAACTGCAGCCATACTCTTTCCAGTGGAGAGCTCGTTCTTTCCTTTCTTGCTATAGTGCTTAAGTTTCAAAAACCTTACAAGTCCACATTTTTTGGATACACTTCTACAACAAGTGATGAATGTTTGAAGCCAAAACCCAGTATTCGTTACAGTTCTGTCCATAACATTCAGATACGCTCAAAAGTGTATAAATGCTGCTAGTATGTTTTAATATCGATACTGATAAATCATTGAGAAATAAATTAAATATTATTAAAATATTAAATAGCCTTATTTCTGCTATAGAGAGGGGAAAGGGTTTGCAACCAAGGCTAGTTTTATGCACTCTCCTCTCCTGAAAAATCATAATCCCACAATTTATTCACCCTCTTCATTCACATACTGCATAGTACTCCATCCACCCCAGTTTTGGGAGCTGCAGCTGATGGAACCTGCAATTGCCTAAATATGATTACTATGTATTACTTAGTTAATCACAACAAAGCAGCCTTTGAATAATATTGAAAATAGGGCAGGAGTAGTTTAGGATTATTGCCTCTTATAGGTAGATTAGCTTGTGTTTAAAAGTTGGTGAACATTTTCCTACCAATAATCAGGGACTAAAAACAAGATTCTAAAGGGTTAATCATATTGCACATCAAACAGCAGCTTTCATCCACACACCAAGGCTGTTTTGTTTTTTTAGTGGGGGTGGGGCGGGGATGTAGACAACTTCCAGAATAAAACAGCTGTTTCTTTAAATATAGATCACACATCTGAAGTAGTGAGGGTTCACTTGAAATCTCTATTAACATGTCTTCTAAACTTGGAGCTTCCACAATAATGATGGGCATTGAACTTGTTTATTTCTGAAAGCACTTTAGCTCTGGCATGTTAGTAGAATATGGAATATCCTGAGATGTAGTAAAGCAATAAAGATGTCATTTTCATCAAAACAATGAGTTTTGTCTTTTTCCACTTTAAAACCTCTCACGCTTCACAAAAACTGTTCGTTCCTAGCACCCACACTGTGTCTTTTACCATATGCAAATTTAAGTCACTTGAAAGCTAGACAAAATGAAAATTAGCTAATTTTTTAATCTGTTCACCTTAGATTAAAGCCCAGTTAAATCAAATGGAACATAATTATTGCTAGAACAGTAATAGCAGAAACACCCTTTGATATTGAGAGAGATTACCTTCCAAGCAGAGGACTATAAAGGGCTAAGCTATGGACTCAGACAGCCTGAGGCAAATAATTTGTGCTAGTTTCCATTTCATATCTGAGAAGTGGAAACAGTGACCCTATCACAGCATGTTATGAGTGCATTGAAATATATTTAGGAAAAGGGTTACAGCTCCATAGTACAGAACACACTTTGCATGTAGAAGGTCCCATGTTAAATTTTTGGATTCTCCAGGCAGGGCTGGAAAAGACTTTTGCTGGAAACCCAGGAAAACTGCTACCATTCAGCGTTGATGGCTCTGAGCAATATGGACCAATGGTCTGACTCACTGTAAGGCAGCTTCCTATATTTCCTTTATTATGCCACTATTCAGGATCTCAAAGCAATTGATAATATATACAAATACAACATTCAAAATCAGCAGTCATACACTAAAATAGATTATCCACTCATTATAATAGATGAATACTCCTCCCCTACCCACTACATAAGCACACTCCCTAAAAATACTCAGGCAGAATGCCCGCAGGAGCTATAATTATATTAGCATTCAAGTACCTGGTCCAAAAAAATATTGGTGCCAGGCAAGCCTTCCCGAGGAGAGCAGTTCACAAATGGGTGGGGGCATCCCTGAAAACACTCATGCTCTTGCTGCCGTCCTCCATACAAAGAGCCTCCGATGATGATCTTAGGATCTGGGGAAGCTCATATAGGAAGAGGCCATCTGCAAGCTGTTGGGGTCCTGAGCTGTGTAAGGCTTTATAGGTTAAAACCAGTCCTTTGAACTGGGCTTGGAAACAAACTGGGAGCCAACGCAGCTAGGCCAGATCTGGTGTTTTATGTCCAGATCACCTGGTCTCCGTTAACGTTCTGCAAAAGCTGCAGTTTCCAAACAACCTGCAAAGGCAGCCCAATTTATAAAAACAGTAATGTAACCTAGAGATTACAGGAGCATAGGCTACTGATGCCAGGCTATGCCCATCCAGATGAGGCCGAAGCTTATATAAGGCACTTGGAGCCAGAGAGGCTTCTTGTCCCTCCAAAATGATTATAGAATTTAAAAGTAAAATGCCAAAACCCTTCTTTGCGCTTATCTCAAATTAAAGGCAGTAGAAAGAGCAAGGTCCCCCTTTGCCTCAGTTTCCCTTTCTTCCTTTTGAAGAAAGGGTTTGCTGTGTCAGAATTGCCTTCAGACTGCAGATGCAACAAGCCTTCAGGGTGGAAAAAGAGGGAAAGGGCTCCTTTAACATTGGTTATTAGTTACCAATTAAACAGGCTTCAGCCACTGGGCCACTTTCCAAGCCGGGATAGGTTAAAGAGAGAAGGCACTCGAGTGGATGAAGCCGCCAAGTGTGAGATTATAAATGGTGTAGAGAACCATTTGGCGGTAGTTATTCCGGATTAAGCATCCTTGTGCATCTTGACTCTCCTATCCGTGGCCTACGTTTCCTCCTCGAGGAGAGGGAGAGGCAGGCGAGGGCTGCCTCCCTTTGGCCACCTGTCAAGACACCCCCAGCCACGGCTGCGAGAGAGGGAAACCCCGACTCCGAAACACACACACGGGAGAGACGCTTCGCAAGGGCTGCGATGTGCCACTCGCGTGTCGCCCTCCCCTCCCTGGATAGGCCATCGATTCCCAGGCCTGTCGCTATGAGGAGCTCAAGGAGAGCGAGGCCTGCAGCTCCCACTCAAGCCCCGGCCTGGAGTTAGCCATTTCCTCTCAGAGCGGGGAGCGGCGGCTATAGCGGGGCAGGCGGGAGGAGGGAGACGGATCTGGCCCACCTCCCGGGGGTCTGCCCCTGATGCCAGGCGCAGAAAGGGGGCGGCAGGCCGAAGGGGTTATTATTCCCTGGGCCCCGTCCGGAAGGGGCGCCTCCCTACGCCTCCCCCACCCGGGCGCAGCTCTCGCATCAACTCCGAGGCTCCCCGACACCTGACAGCAGATCCCCCTCCCCATAAGGAAGCCCCCCCCCAAACACACTCTTCCCCAGTTACAATTAAAGCCGGGGGGGGGGGTAGGAAACGAGTGTCTGCACCACCTCTTTCCAGAAAGGCGCTGCGCAAAATAAAATCACCCCGCAGTTTTAAAATAAACAAGTGCCCCCCCCGCAGTGCTGCCCCCTCCCTGAATTAGCCAGCTGCCTTCAAAACCACACACGCCCTATTAAGTGGAGGGGGGGAAACAACGGATCCTTCCGGATCCGGCCACAAAAACCGACCCCGGTCTCCATTTGGGATATGTTGCGTCTCTCGTTATTTACTTTTGTCATTTGCCCCTGGGATTCCTTCGGGTCTTTATCCATTTTGTTCCCAATCACCCCCGACACTAGGAGGACTAGGCAGTCAGTTATTAATATACATCGGTTTTTATCTCTCTCTTAAAAAAAAAACACACTATCAAGCCTCGCAGAGTAGCCGACACTTTCTGATCGGGAAGACGAAACTTCCACTCCCACAAACCAGACCGCCACCATAAACAGGACTTGGGGTGGGGAACAAAAACAACCCCCCCAAAAAACCTGTCAACCATTTTAGATCTCTATTTGGGAAACATCGGGGGTGTTTGTGTGTATAGGAGAGAGAATACGCCTCTCAACGCCGCTATGGTCGTCTTCCGATGCGGGCTCGGGGATGCGGGCGGGGTGGGGGGTGGGGGAGAGAAGAGAAGAAGAAAATAAAAATTGAGGGAGGGGGGAGGGGTTGCATTACCTGAGACCAGCCACTGGCCTCCATTGTTGGAGAATTCAATGGCATTGACACAGCCGAAGTGGCCCAGGAGATCCTTCTTGTAGAGGTTTCTACAGCCTCGCAGGCGTCTCCTCTGAAAGTCCTGGGTGAGCAGGGGGTCTCCCTGCAAGCCCCTCTGGGACAAGAAGCCCACCACTGACCTCATGTTGCCCCCCAGATCAGCTCGCCTTCTCATGCTGCTGCTGCTGATCCCCCACCACCCCCTCGCTTGCTCGGCTGGCTCACTCCCTCTGCCTTCTCTCCGCCTCCCCCCCCCCTTCTTGTTATGGTTATGATGATTTTTCTTTAGCCAGCCATAGCAGGGGAGAGGTGTTAGACACTCCGTTGCTTCCTGATCCCCTTTAAACTCCTCCCCTGCCTCGCAGCAGCGGCGGCGGCGGCGGCGGCAGCAGCTGATCCACAGCTGCAGCCCCTTTCCTAATGCGATTCTTCGGCCGGCTGCTGCCCTGGACTGAACGTTGATCGGGGGTGTCAGTGGCTTTGGAGGTTTGGACTGTGGCTCTTGTCTCACTTGCCCCCGATCCCAGGCGGAGCCCCCAAACCTCCGCTTTTTAAATAGATAAAGATAAGATATTTACGCTGCCTAACTTCTTATATCAGTCGCCTTCGCCTTCCCCCTCCCCACAAGAACAATCTGCGGAAGTACATCCCTCTCCCGCTAGGAATCAACGTGTTATTGGATCCACTTTTATTTTAAGGGGCTGCAACAGCGGGAAGGCGCTAGATCGCGCTTGGGTGGGGCCAGAGGAGGGAGAAGGAGATGGGGGCGACGACGACGACGGTGAACCTGGAACTGCCGATGCACCTCCCTCGGGCCCTTCCTCATAATAATTTAAAGCAACACTTAATTATGAAGTTGGACAGACGTAATAAGAGGCAGCCAGGTTCAAACTCCCTGCTGGAGTTTGATCTCTCTACCATCACCAAAGCCCATCCGAGGACTGAAATCGGAAATAAGATTGATTTGCTGTGCCAACATTAGCCTCTTCTCCCTGAGCCTTATTAGAAATGAGGTGGAAGAAACTTTGGGGAAAGAGTGTGCTTCCCGGATTTTCTGGTTTCTTTCTAATCCATCTCTTGAGACAGTTGCTAGCATTTAATATATTCCCCGTAGATAAAATGGAAACATGATAAGTTTGTTTTGGATCACCAAAGGATCTTCTTAAAACCATCCAGAATTTCATCTGTTCAAAGGGCTTCTTAGAAATTGATTCAGACAAAGCAGATTCGAAGAGAAAGGGGTCAATGGGGAACATGTTTGGAAGGCATTAGCTAGAAAGAACAATAAATGAAGACAAGTTTGACATAGGAACTAATCTAAAGTGTACATAACTCTTCTTTCTTAAGCAGTACATTCAAGGAATGCCACTGGTTATCAATTCAATTTTAGAGAAGATTAAAAATGGATTTCTGTAGAATGTGCTTTTTTAATTGTGAATTATGATAAAATTTTAAATATTTTTAGAGGGGTGACTGGGTCAGTGTATTGCAGCAAAAAAACAACAACATGCATGTAACTGAGAATCACACTACACGTATCAGATGAAGTGGACCCAAGTCCATAAAAGTTTATAACATAGTAAAAATTTTAAAGACTCATTCTGGATCAGATCAAAGACCATTCTAGTACTGTACAGCATCCTGTTCCTCCCACAAGGCAACAAGTAAGACATAACAATAGCAGTCTCCTGGTTGTGTTCCTCAACAACTTGCAATACCACCTCTGATGCTTGAAGGTAGTATAGAACCATTATTATTATTATTATTTACCCAACTTTTATCCTTGACAGGGACTCCAGGTGACATACAGATAAAATAAGATCAGTTAAACATTAATGGAATTAAATACACACACATATGATCTAGTAAAAAATTAGAGATAATTGCAATAGAAACACAATGCACCACTACATAGTGTAGCAAATTCCACAATTTAATTATGCACTGTGTGAAGAAGTGCTGCCTTTTGCTTTTCCTAAATCTTCCACGATTCAGCTTCATTGGATGACCGTGTTCTGTCTAGTATTACGAGAGGGGGACTTGTCTACTTTCTTCATACCATGTTCCCCCAACTAACTCTTTTTTCTACGCGAAAACCCATGTTGTAACCTTTCCTTATATGGAAGTTGAGCCCATTTGATCATTTTGCTTGCCTTTTTCTGAGTGTTTTCCACTCCGGAGGTGGCATCCAGAGTTATTCACAGTATTCAGTGTGTGAGCACACCATAGATTTGTATTATGAAATGGGCAGCTTTGCTTTCAATTTCTTTTCTAATGATCCCTAACATGGAATTCACCTTTTCTACAACTGCCATACACTGGGCAGACGTCTTTGTTAAGCTGCCCACTATGACTCCAAGGTCTTATTCTTGGTCACCCACTGCCAGCTCAGACCCTATTAGTATATATGTGAAATTAAGACTTTTTGCCCCAGTTTGTATCAATTTACACTTGCTTACTTCAATTTACATTTCCCATTTTAGTGTCCATTCACCCAGTTTGGAGCTCCTTAAAATCTATTTTTGTTTTAGCAATTCTGAAGAAAAAAAAATTGTATCAGCAAACATGGCTATTTCACTGCTCCCCCTTCATTTGCGGTATTTGCCACAAAGCAGACTTGCAATACTCAGCTGATGGAGGGGGCAGCTCATCATAAATCCGTTCCATTGTCATGGACAGATCACTGTTGAGATTTGGGCTGAATGCAGTTATAATAATAATCATAATAATTTATTATTTATATGCCTCCCATCTGACTGGGTTAGCCAGCCATTCGGTGGCTTCCAACAAATTAAAACACAAGATGACTTCACTCTGCAGGGCTGGAAAACCAAATCAGATAGTCCACCCATAGAGAATCTGATGTATTCCTGAATGCTTTGAGGGATTTCCATCTGGTGACTGGTGCTTACCATTCCACAGTGTGACAAGAGCCTTGACAGAAGCACCAGTCACCAGAACAAAAAAAAAATACGGAAAAGAAAAACAGTGGATAAAAATCTAGAGCCAAGCAGCTACCTATAGCCTCAGTTGACTAACAGACTCACTGAGAAACAGCTTGATCTTTTATTTCCCCAGTCAGTTATTCCCACCCAGCTAAACTGTGGTCATTGTCAGTATCTGTCACTCATTGTCCCAAGACAATCTGTTCTGAAGATGCAATCCCACAAATATCATTTTGGCCTGTTCCATTTCTCTATCCTTCATCCCTCCCTCTGTTCTCCAGAGAAACTTAAAAGTTTGAGGAAATGTCTTATTAGTTACACCAATGCCTGCCAGTTTATTTTAAAAATTAAAGTATTTTGTGTAGAAATACTACTTTTTAAAAGAAAACACACACACACACACACCCTCTGACCCTTGGAGCAGGAGATGGGAAAGGGATGGGCAGATGGAAGATTTCCTGTATTGGTGACCTTGACAAGGCCTTCACCCAACCTTCTCCTGTTTCATTGAGAACAAGGAGAGCGAAGAGATAATGACTAAGCTTTCCCCCAGCATTGTCAGGTTCACCAGAAATCAGAGAAGGGAGACCTTGGCATTAGTAAAACTGATAAGAGTGCTTACATTTTTTTTTTAAGAGGGAGAAGTGGTAAAAATGTAGAGAGGGGAGAATCCCCAAATGTGTGGTACATTATGGGAAGAATGGTGGGTGTAGACCTCAAATGTGTTTCAGAAAAAGTATCTATATACTTCTAACATTTCTTCTAGCACCTTAGGATGGTGGAGAGCCCTGATGTATACCAGAAAAAGCACCAAAGAATCATCTTTGTTTCCTATATGCACATTTAATTGTTAGGTACCAACTAATGTGCCACAGAAGATCACAAAATGAGGAATTGTCCTCGGGTATGTCATGGCTTGCAATTTGATTTATTGGCGGTGTTGTATAACATCTTCTGTAAGACTTGAAAGTTAAATTATTATTTTTTTAATCTGAGAAGGCAGTTCAGTTGCTTTCAAGCACAAACAGTCGCAGATGAGCTTTTGGCCAAAGCTTGGTGGCCATTTCCCTCTTATGTGCCAGTCAAATTTAGTTCGGAGTTTCAATATTTCCTCCTTTACCAGAATCAACTCATGCATCAGTTACTTTCATTTATTTTTCATTCAACATTTACACTTGAATACTCTGTTACAATACTGGGGAACATGTTTGTGATATTGATATTATGAAGAATAAAAGCTTTCCAATCCAACAGCTGTTATTTTGCTTTCATTTTCCTGTTTCTGACTTATGCCTCTTGAACAAGGATAGAATTGCTACTAAGCCCACTTGAATTATGGAGCCAGAAGATACACTGACATCATGAACCCACATTCGCTCTCTGGGGAACTGTGGAAAATGAAGGTCAGATGATGGCTAGAGTGCAGATGGTGGAAATCTCATTGTGAAGATGACCAAACATGAATTAGAGTTCTTAATCATGACTATTGCATCAGTCTTACTATTCTGCTTCCATTGCAGCCTCAGGTGGCCATCCTGCAGAGCTGTTCCACATGGTGAGTTTTTTTGTCATTTTTCCTGGCCAATGAAATGTGGAGCACTTGGAGGCCTACTGAGACAAATTTGTGAAGCTCTTAGGGGATAAAGCTGCTCACCTCATGCTAAACTAGACAACAGGTTTACTACATCTCCAAATGAGATGCCTTGCTCATGTTGCCGAACACATGGATGTTGGGTAAACATTTCATATTGCAGGAAGCTACAGTGTAGGTGTGACCATGCCATATAGTGGTGTGGGAGGGGCTAGACTATGCATTCCTGTGCCCCTCACATTATTTCAGTGCATCTGCCCTGAAAATGCAGTCTCACAACTATCATGTTGGTCTGTTTCATTTCTGTTTCCTCTACCTCCCCTTCTGTTCTCCAGAGAAACTGAAAAGTTTAGGTAAATGTCCGTTACACCAATGCCTGTCAGTTTATTATTTAATCTGGTTAATCTGTGTTTATGTCTTCGAGTACAGAATATGAGGTTAGTACTTTTTCCTGATAAATTAATACATACTGTAATAATATGTTCTTGTGTATACATTATTATCTGACAGGAGACCAAAGCTCCACCCTCTTCCCAACAGTAGTTTCCCAGGAAGCTCTATGGTACAGGCACTTCTGTCTCACTCTGGCTTGGCAACTAAATGAAGAACCAGGCAGCAACCTTCTGGCTAGATTTGGCACAGGGGCCAGCTCTGCTCTCTGAACCCCTATTTTGATTACTTGCTCCCTGTTCTGTTAGGTAATCCAAGTGAGGGAAGAATTGTGGTGCCTGCAGGATGTTTTTTATTTTAAGGTCAACAAGGGCCAGGAGCAAAACAGAGATGCTCTTGATCAGGTTGTCACTGAGGACCCAGGAATTTGTTGTCAGTATCATAATGGAGGTCACAGTCCTGTCATACAAAAATCTCCCCAGCCCCATTCTCTCCATCTTTGCAGCCTAATTTAGAAGAGGGCCAGGGTCTGAATCCTGCTAGTCTACAATTCATTCAAAGATCTGGACCAGATACCAGTCTACCTACTGCTGTCCCGTGATGTAATCATTATCAGTAGTGCAACCTGCGAATTTGATATTTGGGGAACTCCTGCCTGCTGGACAGGGATCTACATTAAAACAAAATCACCAACAAGCACATATTAAAAAAAAAATTATGAAGGAAATCCATACGGCAACAGTTTCCAACATGTTGCCTCAGCAGTGATAGTTGTGAGTTCCAGGAACAAAGGGCGATTTAAAAAAAAAGAAAAAGCATTAAACTGAGGTGCAAAGATGCAATCCTACGGGCGCTTCCTTTGAACCCCATCACAATTAACTTCGTTCCAAACAAACCGTGATAGGATCGGGCTGGTTGCTTCCTTTTCCGCACTCTAAAAGCGCGGTTAGTGCGACCCGAAGCACATTTGACGCGTGTATAGGATTGCACAGCCCGCGCAAGACACACACGCCAGTGAATCCCAACCGCACTTGTTCTCTAGTAAAGGCTGGCCTGGTTTTAAGAACTTCGTCCACCAGGCGCTATTCCTTTAACCAGCCCGGAAGCCCAGACAGATGGAACCAGTGTCACAATTGCCGTACAACATGGCGACTCCCTGCGTTCCTGGAAGCTTCGGCAACACACGTGTACGTTCCTCTCCCCGAAGGACGGAAGCGTTCGCTTACGAGCAGGCTCCGGGGAGCGCGCAGACCACGGAGAAGGAGTTCCTGCCCCGCGCAACAGAAGCAGGTAACGTGCACGTGTCTTTTGTTGATAGTAGATACGGGTTTCTTGAGAGGTTCAGCCCTTGGGGAGGATAAAAAAAAAGCGAGATTGTTGGGTCTGGCGGGAAGGGGAAATCGCCGTGAGATGGTTGCGTTTGATTTCCTCGTCGCGTGGTATTTTTCTTTCCTAGAGATTGTTGTAATATCGTTCAGAGGTTGGTGGAGCTCTCTGCTTCTGCCTGCGACTGTAGCCCTAAGAATGCTAGTATAAAAAACTTCAAGATGCAAAGGGGGCTTTAGACTAATCGGGTCTACTCGAGTGAAGCTAGGATACCCTCCTGCTCCTTAGGCGATCTCTGAACCTGGTCCTAATTCAACAAGGTGCATCCCATTCCCCAAGTAAATAATATTGTGCGATCTTTCCTCACTCATCGCCTTTCTTACCTCTCTCAGCTTCAACAAAGTTTCACGGTGTAGGGGGAGAGATTAAACTGTTACTTTATTATTATTATTATTATTATTAGCTGTTATCTGTTCACTCTGACATGCAAACGCCATATGTGTGTTCGGATTATTATTTTTTATAAAAAACGTATTATGCAACAAATTCAAAGTGCCTAAAAACACTAAGCACCAGATACAAAAAAAGAAGTCCCTGCATTAAAACTCGGAGGGAGGGAGGTCTTATAAGGTGAAATAGACTGATCTGAAGGCTTGCCTCTTGCAAAGCTTACCTTACTGGCCATTAACTCCATTTAAGAAACCTTAATGGTGATATAAAACAGTCGGTAGCTCCTGTAGTGAAACTGACTGACTGGGAAGCCAATTATCTTGAGTCTATTAAGATTTACAAACATAAGGAAGGTTGGTCAGTTGTAATGGAGTGGCAGTCTCTCTGCCACTCAAAATTGTTACAATGGAAACTGAAGCCACTCTGCTCAACTCAGACACAAATTGGCATTGAGAAAATATTTATTACATTTATTATTATATCCCACCACATGGGAAGCACAGAGTGACAAAGCTAAAACCCTGGAGCAGTCTCTCAAGCAGTCCTTTAAAAAAATGCCATTTTCTATCTTAAACCCATTGTGTTTGCTCTTCCTTCCTTCCTTCCTATCTTCCTCCCTCACAACTCTCTTCAACTGTCACTTCTATTGAATTCTAAAAGGGGTTTCCAGAGGATTTGTGCAAGAAGGATCAGAATTTGAAAAAGCAATTTTGGGGCCTAATAAAGAACTAATCTCTAAAATATATAAAGTATTGTTAGGGTGGGAGACTAAAGATGAACTTTTTAAGGAGGCAGGGATAAAATGGGCTATTGATATTGTGTGTAATATTGAAATTGTTGCGTGAAAAAATTATGGAATTCAACAATGCAACTTTTCAGCATGTTACCAAATATGAGAAAATACGTACAAAATGCAGTATAGATGGTATTTGACACTGGTCAAACTGGTTAAAATGTACCAAAAAATAAAATAAAAAAGTGCTGGAAATGTCTGGAGGTAATGTAAACGGGCAAGAAAATTTTGGGAGATAGTGTACAATGAGTTAAAGAAAATATTTATATTTACCTTTCCCAAGAAACCAGAAGCATTTCTTCTAGGTGTAATTACCAAAGAAAACCCATAACTTATTTTTATACGCAACAACAGCAGCAAGGACAGTATATGCAAGAGACTGAAAACAAAGAGAGATCCCAGGGAAAGAACAGTGGATATACAAATTAGTTGAATATGCAGAGTTTGCCACTATGACATCTAAAATAAGAAATCAAGATGACACATTGATGAGGAGTGAGTGGGAGTACCCAGGGGAATATTTACAAAAATTGGACCTTAAATATAAATTCCAGGTAGGAGGCACTTTGTGACCAACAGTTGATAATATGAAAGATAAGAGAGTGTGGAGAATTGGGTGAAGGAATTAATATATATGCAGTCAAACAAGAAGTAAAAAGAGCTGTCATGAAATGCTGGGTAGGAAGTAAAAAAAATTATGGTATATATTATGGAAAAAAGCTGTAATTGTAAAACTGAAAAAACTCAAAAATAAAAATCTAAAAGGGATTTCCACAACCAAGTGCAGAGCTATTTCTTTTGCCAGTTGAGTGCAAAATACTAAGGTATTTCCCAACCAATACTATACCAGTTTAATGTCTTAGGCAATGAAATAGCCACACACAACTAAGCAATACACTTTTAAAATAGTTCATTTTAAAACTTGAGGTGCACGATTTTAGAAAATGCATGATAGATTGTTATGACGAGGCCTGGATACAGTAGGCCCTTACTCAGTAGATGAATTAATTAATCCAGCATTTTACAAACTGTTCCATGGAACCTTGGAGTTCTGTGACGTTGTAATGTTGTAATGGTGAGTAAGCATGCACAATGTGTGATTTCCACTGAGCTTAGGATCTCAAAAATGTATATATTGTGCGTTACATGCTCATTTAAATTTAATTAGTTGATTTTGTTAAAAGGCTGTTCAAGCAACTCCAAGTTACTTAACTGGCTGTAAGCCCTCATTATAACTTAAAATATTAATATTTTTTCCTTTACTGTTTGGTATTATTCATTCATTCATTCATTCATTCATTCATTCAGTGCCATCCATGGAATGTGGCATCTTACAATGAATGAGAGGATACATCCCTATGCTGAAGTGCTAATTGTCTATAAAATGGACACAAGGGAGACAACAGAGAAAGGAGAAGGACACGGAGTGAGGGGAAATTGGATGGAGAATGCACAGTTGCTGCATTTTGCATACATAGATTTAGTTACCGTAGGGCAAAGGAGCCAGGAGATTGTGCCAAAGTAGAGTATTGAGGAGGGATTTGGAGGAATAGAAATGGTGTCATTAAGGGGTTAGACATCTGATGAAGAGCAGGAAGTTGAAGCTGGGTTTATTTCCCTAAAATGGATGTTCTCCTGGGAAAGGACCATGTTGGGTCGAGACTGTGTTGGTTATATCACTATAAGCCTCCTTACCTAGTAAGCTCTAAACAGCTAGTTTGTCAGATCTTGAACATCTCAGTTGCATGTTTGATTGAATTAAAAGTAATATATGACACAATCCCACGGATGTTTACGCAGAAGCATATTCTGCTGAGCTCTGTGAGACATACTCCCAGGTAAGTAGGTATAAGATTGGAGACATAATGGTCCCCTCTCCCAGAAGCCTGTCTAGGACTTCATATATTTTCCATAATATTTTGTTTGTAGGTTACAAGGCAACTCTAAATAATGCCATTTCTTCTGTAGGTGAAGATGTATGGGGAATGAAAGATGCCAAGACAAACAACCGTTGCTGTTACTGTCGCCTCTCTGCTGGGCATTGCAGCAGGAGGCCTGATTTTCTGGAAACTCATCCGCCGTCAGAAACACAAATCTTGTGTTGCACTTAACCTAGGAAGGGCAGTCCAAGAAAGAGAAAAGGAAGACACCTCAGAAGAGAATTTTCTCTCACTCCATTCTTCTTCCACAATCCCCTGGGTGGAGAAGATTATTGGGGCAGACGTAGTGGTAATTTCTGAGGCAGAGCAGTGGAATGAAGTGGAACCCTTTATTCAGAAAGTGTTGGTGCGTTGTCCAGTCCTTGGAATTGACTGTGAGTGGGTAAGTCATAAACGATGGGAAGGTCTGTTCCTTTAACATCTTAGGGCAGAAACAGATGATTGACAACCACATTACAATAGTCCAGTCGAGGTTACCAATGCAATTGCATTGTTATTACTGATGTTAAAAAGGATGCAATTGTCTAGGTTCCTTTGGTGTGTGTTTTTCTAAAAAATACGTCACAACACATGTTTTATGGCAGACTATTAAAATATAACTAATCTATAAAGACAGAAGGGACGTGGGTGGCGCTGTGGGTAAAAGCCTCAGCGCCTAGGGCTTGCCGATCGAAAGGTCGGTGGTTCAAATCCCCGCGGCGGGGTGCGCTCCCGTTGCTTGGTCCCAGTGCCTGCCAACCTAGCAGTTCGAAAGCACCCCCGGGTGCAAGTAGATAAATAGGGACCGCTTACTGGCGGGAAGGTAAACGGCGTTTCCGTGTGCTGCGCTGGCTCGCCAGCCACATGTCACGCTGGCCACATGACCCGGAAGTGTCTCCGGACAGCGCTGGCTCCCGGCCTCTTGAGTGAGATGGGCGCACAACCCTAGTGTCTGTCATGACTGGCCCGGACGGGCAGGGGTACCTTTACCTTTATAAAGACAGAAAGTAGAACAGGTTTATGGCACTAGATTAGTGGCCCACCAGAATAAAAGAACTACTAGCTGCTGGCTAGGATTTTAGCCTAAGGGTTCTGAAACACAATACAGTCGTACCTTGGCTCCCAAACGCCTTGGGAGTCGAACGTTCCGGCTCCCAAACGATCGAAAACCGGAAGCGAGTATTCTGGTTTTCAAATTTTTTGGGGACACTGAACGTCCAGCACAGCTTCTGCTATTGTTTCTGGCACGCCTGCACAATTGGAAACAAATCGGAAGCCGCGCCTTGGTTTCTGAACATTTCGGAAGTAGAACGGACTTCCAGAATGGATTCCATTCCACTTCCGAAGTACGACTGTAATAATGGCTAATGCATGATGTTACTGTCTGAATATGGGAGTGCTTCTGAGCTTGTTCACCACCAGCCCCATACATTATGCAAGTAGGAGAAAGCTGTGTGCTTCACAAGGTGTAGTGTTTAGCAGTCTTAGAGCCCAGAGTCAGTTTGCAAATTTTACGACTGGTGATGCAACCTGTATCAATTTACATTAGGATAGGCAAGAAATATTGACTGAAAATGCATAATGTTCCCAGTAGGCTTGCTCTAGATAGCCGAAAAGGTTGTTAAAATTAACTCTGTACTTCCGTTCTGTTATGGCATATATATATAATCCAGAAATTATCTTTTTATTTTTTCAAGGTCTCAGTCAAAGGGAAGAAGGATCCGCCTGTGTCTATCTTGCAACTGGCTGTTTACAGTGGTTTTTGCACTATTCTTCGCTTGCCCCAGCTGACCAGAGGTGGACAGGTTCTTCCAAAGACTTTGCTGGACATTCTGGCAGATGGTGGCATCCTGAAAGTTGGAGTAGGGTGTTGGGAAGATGCTTGCAAGTTACTTCATGGCTACGGTGTAACAGTGAAAGGGAGCGTGGACCTTCGGTATCTAGCTATAAGACAGAAGTATGTATCCTTGCAAGAAAGTTTTTGTGTGTGTGTGTGTGTGTGTGTGTGTGTGCGCGCGCGCACACACACATGCACTGGTGGTAAGATAGAATTGTGTTTTCACATTTTTAATTTTATTTTTAATGATGATTACCAGAGACGGATGCTAGCATGGTTTTTCCCTAGAGTGTTATTCATTGCAATTGGTACAGAATAGTGTTGGTCTTTCCTTTTTTTTTTTGTTTGTAAATAATTTTTATTTAAGTTTTAAACAACAAAGAAAGAAAAGAAAAACATACACAATACATATCTCAAAAAAAGAAAAAAAAAGATAACAAGAACACACAAAAAAGAACACGATTCAACTATAAAAAACAAAAAACATAACAATTAAAAAACAATATCTCTTTTCCATTTCCGTTTTTTTTAGTTTGCTTATTTTCTGGACTTCCTCATACCTCCCTCTTTTGTATTCCAATCCAAATTGTTTGTCCAGCAATTTCTTTTCAACTTTTTAATCCCAATCTTTAACTTTAATATAATATTGTAATATATATCTTCAATTTCTTTAAACCTGATCTTTAATCTTAGTATAATATAACATTAAAATTTTCCCTCTTAATTGTCAGATTTCCATTTCTTTAAACATCTTTAATCCTAATCTTAATCTTAGTCTATCATTAACTTTAACCTGTACAGCTGGAAACCGCTTATTTTCAGTCCAACATCACTCTAACATTCTTTAATTTTACAATGTTTCTGAAGATAGTCTTTGAATTTCTTCCAATCTTCCTCCACCGACTCTTCTCCCTGGTCACGGATTCTACCAGTCATTTCCGCCAGTTCCATATAGTCCATAAGTTTCATCTGCCATTCCTCCAGCGTGGGAAGTTCTTGTGTCTTCCAATATTTTGCGATGAGTATTCTTGCTGCTGTTGTTGCATACATAAAGAAAGTTCTATCCTTTTTAACACCATTTGGCCGACTATGCCCAGGAGAAAGGCCTCTGGTTTCTTAGGGAAGGTATACTTAAATACCTTTTTAATTCATTATATATCATTTCCCAGAAAACCTTAATCTTTGGGCACGTCCACCAAAGGTGAAAAATGTACCTTCAGTTTCTTTACATTTCCAACATTTGTTATCGGGCAAGTGATAAATTTTTGCAAGCTTGACTGGGGTTATGTACCACCTGTATATCATTTTCATAATATTCTCTCTTAAGGCATTACATGCCGTAAATTTCATACCTGTGGTCCACAACTGTTCCCAGTCAGCAAACATAATGTTATGTCCAATGTCCTGTGCCCATTTAATCATAGCCGATTTTACCGTTTCATCCTGAGTATTCCATTTCAGCAGCAAGTTATACATTCTTGACAAATTCTTAGTTTTGGGTTCTAACAGTTCTGTTTCTAATTTTGATCTTTCCACCTGGAAGCCAATTTTCCTGTCCAATTTAAATGCCTCCATTATCTGATAATAATGAAGCCAGTCTCGCACTTTGTTTTTAGTTTTTCAAAACTCTGCAATTTCAGTCTATCTCCGTCTTGTTCCAAAATTTCCCAATATTTCGGCCATTTGACCTCCATATTGACCTTTTTCAAGGCTTTCGCTTCCATTGGTGACAGCCACCTTGGGGTTTTGTTTTCTAGCAAATCCTTATATCTTAACCAAACATTAAATAGCGCTTTCCTGACAATGTGGTTTCTAAATGCTTTATGTGCTTTGACCTTATCATACCATAAATATGCATGCCATCCAAATACATTGTTAAAACCTTCCAAATCCAAAATGTCAGTGTTTTCAAGAAGTAGCCATTCTTTCAACCAGCAAAAAGCTGCTGATTCATAGTAAAGTTTGAGGTCTGGCAGGGCAAATCCGCCTCTTTCCTTTGCATCCGTTAAAATTTTAAATTTTATTCTGGGCTTCTTGCCCTGCCAGACAAATTTAGAAATATCTTTCTGCCACCTCTTGAAACAATCCATTTTGTCAACGATCTGCAAAGTTTGAAACAAAAACAACATTCTAGGCAATACATTCATTTTTATCGCAGCAATACGGCCTAGCAGTGAAAGCTTCAAATTTGACCAAATTTCTAAATCTTTTTTCACTTCAGACCAACACTTTTCATAGTTGTCTTTAAAGAAGTTCCCATTTCTTGCTGTCATGTTAATCCCCAGGTATTTAACTTTCTTAACCACTGTTAAACCTGTCTCATTCTGAAACCTCTCTCTTTCAAACGGTGTTAAATTTTTCTCTAAAACCTTGGTTTTTGACTTGTTCAATTTAAATCCTGCCACTTGACCAAATTCCTGAATCAGTTCTAAAACTCTTTTAGTACTAGATTCTGGCTCCTGTAACGTCAATACTAAGTCATCTGCAAACGCTCTCAATTTGTACTGTTTAGTTCCGACCTGTATACCTTTAACCGACTGGTCCCTTCTAATCATATTCAGCAAAACCTCCAGGACCGAAATAAAAAGAAGTGGGGAGATAGGGCAACCTTGTCGTGTCCCTTTTTCAATTTTTAGTTCTTCCGTCACAACATTATTTACAATTAGTTTAGCTTTTTGTTCTGAATAAATTGCACCTATACCATTCTCAAAACCTTGGCCTACCCCCATACCCTGGAGATTCTTCTTCATAAAATTCCAAGAAATATTGTCAAAGGCTTTCTCCACATCTACAAATATCAAAACTGCTTTGGTGTTTATATTCACTTCTAATTTTTCCAAAATATCAATTATATTCCTCAAATTGTCAGACAAATGTCTTCCTGGGAGAAAGCCCGCTTGGTCTTTATGGATCTCTTCCATCAGCACTTTCTTGAATCTCTTAGCCAAAATATCTGCAAAAATTTTGTAATCCACATTCAATAACGATATAGGGCGGTAGTTCTTAAGCTGTGTCTTTTCAGTCTCTGTCTTTGGTACAAGTGCTTCTTTCCACGACTCTGGTGCTCTTTTCCCCTCCATTATTTCATTGCAGACCTCTTTCAAAGGTTGGATTAACCATTCTTTTAAAGATCTGTAGTATCTAGAGGTCAAGCCGTCTGGTCCTGGAGATTTACCCAATTGCATATTTTGAATGGCACCTTCTATTTCTTGTTCAGTTATTCTATGATTCAAAATTAATTTATTTTCTTGAGATATTTTTTGTAATCCATTTGTTTTCAAAAATTGGTCTAAGTCTGTTTCTTTCAATGGCCCTTGAGTGTATAATCGTTTAAAGTACCTCTGGAAACAACTTCTAATCTCTGCTGGGTTCTGTATGTTTCTTCCTTCCACCTCTAAGTTCGTAATCGTATTTAATTTTTGTCTCTTTTTCATTTGCCATGCTAACAATTTACCACATTTATTGGCCGACTCAAAAGTCTTTTGTCTCATTTGTTTAATTTTCCATTCTATTTCCTGATTCATCATTTTCATATATTGTACTTGGTATAGCTTTAACTCTCGCAAAATCTCTTGAGATTTGGGATTTACTCTCAATCTTTTTTCACATTCCTTTATTTTGTCCATTATCTTATCCTTCTTCTCATTTTGAGTTCTTTTCTTTATTGCATTCTGTTGTATTAAGAACCCTCTCATAACTGCTTTACTAGCGTCCCAGATTACTCTTTTCTCCACGTTGGTACTAAGGTTTATCTCAAAGTAATCTCTCAGAGTTTTTTGGGCCTTCTTAAGGAGTTCCTCATCTCTAAATAAGGTGTCATTCATCTTCCATCTGAAGGAGCCAGTTGGAAGATGAATGACACCTTATTTAGGTCTTTCCTTTTAGTGTTGCTAACTATTTTTTTTTATATTCCCCATATATATATATATATATATTCATTAATCACATATTGCATACAACAACTCCCAATAAAAGGGGGAAATCAAACTGTTGTATATCATCTTTACATTTATCCCCCACAATGCCACATTTTGGGGCCAGTTAGTGCTGGCAGGAGCAGCAGGTATAACAGTGACCTCTGTGACAGATATGGTTCTCCAACCAGCTAAGAAACCCCTCCTCTCCATCCTAACTGCCTGCAGTCAGCAGGTCTGTTAGGATTGCTCTGCCAATTATCTTCGGCATCACAGCAACTTGCCATATGCTCGCACTCCAAAACAGGGTGAGCATTACCTCTTTTCCAATTACTTGTGATACTTGGCTGTAGTTGGTAAGTTAACTTGGCTGTAGTTAGATTAATTACTAAGGAATTCTAAATTAGTCTCTGGCACTAAATCCTTCAGATAATATTATAAAACTACTTCTGGGCTCAGTTTTCTTTTTTTAAAAAGTTATAACTATCACACTTATACTTATCTTATATATCAGTCATTCTCCAAAACAGATTAATACGTAGGCATGCCTGGAAGATATGGGAAAAGTCATTACCCAATTTATAAATTTGCCACATTTTGGGGGGCAGGGGTTAGGATTTTCATAACACATAATACAATATAGAAAACTAATGCAAATAAAAAAAGAGTAAGAAAAACATCTAAGAAAAGTACAAGTAGAATACAGAGTCCTCTTTTAAAGGTAGATCTTAACCCTTCTACCCGCAGAAGGTAGTAACCCCTCCCAGCTCTTGCCTGGGATCTTTCCTTTCTCCTCCAAGCCTCTCACATTTGCTGATGTATAGAATACTACTCTGCTGGCCAGGTGCCTTGTTTTTCTGAGGAGAGTCTTCTAGTTGAAAGGCATCAGGACAGCAGACTGAGTGGGCCCTTAGGCCACCTGATCACAGTCTTTCCCGCTTTGGGGGGGGGGGGGAGAGAGAGAGAGATCAACAAATGGAAAGTTGTGTCCTATCTGGCTATGTTTTTGTCTATGCATAAAGGGTCACCCTATATACCACAGATACTGTATTTTGAAAATATTTCCCTTGAATTCTGCCAACATAAATTCCTCCCAATATAGACATATATATATATATATATATATATATATATATACACACACCGTATTTTTCGCTCTGTAACACGCACCCGACCATAACACGCACGTAGTTTTTAGAGGAGGAAAATCCGTAGGCATGCCACCCGTAGGCATTCCCTCCATAACACGTACAGACATTTCCCCTTACCTTTTAGGAAGAAACGTGAGTGTTATTGTGCAAAAAATACGGTATATAAAAGGGATGCGGGTGGCGCTGTGGGTTAAACCACAGAGCCTAGGACTTGCCGATCAGAAGGTTGCAGTTCGAATCCCCATGACGGGGTGAGCTCCCGTTGCTCGGTCCCTGCTCCTGCCAACCTAGCAGTTCGAAAGCATGTCAGAGTGCAAGTAGATAAATAGGTACCGCTCTGGCAGGAAGGTAAATGGCGTTTCCGTGTGCTGCTCTGCTTCGCCAGAAGCGGCTTAGTCATGCTGGCCACATGACCCGGAAGCTGTACGCCGGCTCCTTTGGCCAATAAAGCGAGATGAGCGCCGCAACCCCAGAGTCGGTCACAACTGGACCTAAAGGTCAGGGGTCCCTTTACCTTTAAGCTTATAAAATAGGTTGTCCTGCATATTTTCCTTATTTCTCCTTAGAGCCACAGTTCTCTTTCTGACCAATGTAGTCACATTTGATACATTTACTATTAGCGCTTTGAGAAATACCTCCTGTTATTTCTAATTCAGAAGATGTTTTAGATCTTAAGGCTGCATTCCTAAACATTTTTATAGGGGAGTGAGGCATGCTAAACCGAGAGGGACCTACTTACAAGTAACCATACCTAAGATTGCAATGCAAATCTCCAGGGTGTGTGCATGTTGTTGTTTTTACTAAAGCCATTGCCAAGCATCCAGATTGGAGACAGCAGCAATTAAGAATATATTTATAAATAAAAACAAACTGTACAATGTTCTGCCCATCCATAATATGGGCCATGTCAACCAGAAATTACTCACTAAATTTGTCATGAATTTGCTATGATTTATCCCTGAAATATTATTCGTATCACCATCCAGCCATATCCCTAAATATTTAACTCTAGTTTTCCATGATGTTAGTGCACTGGCACAAGAAAGGTGGGATAGAAAACTCGTATATACATAAGGGAAGATCGCCTGCTTTTTCTTCTTTAATAATTGTATTTGTTTTATATACAGTTACTCTACGTTTTTCAAGTAACTGCAGTTGTGAAACAACTTCATGTTAATAACACTGACAATTTAGATGTCAAACCCCCAGATTAAACAGTGAGCGGTTACACTTGCCAAGACAGTTCTAGACACAGATGGCACTTTCATAGTGGTTGCAAAAACATATGCATCATTCTGTTCCGAAGTCATTTCGTTTTTCTGTGTAAAAAAATACCTCTTCTTTCTCCCATTTACAAAACCTAAAGTAAGGTCCTTCCCCAAAATGGACTCAGCCTCAAAGCTCTTTCTGAGAGCATCCTCAGCTACCAACTTGACAAGTCTTTTCACCTGCGCTGCAGCAACTGGGAAGAAGAAGAACTGACTCCAGAACAGGTTTGGTTTTTCATCACTGCACTGGTAGTAGTTAGTGGTTGGAGAGTCTTGTTGCCAAGGCAGCTCACAGTAGTTTTGCAGTCATTCACTGTGGCAGTTGGAACGTCTCATTTTTCCCATGGGAAAATGGGAGCAAGGCTTTGCAAGAAACAGATATGAGGAGGACTGAAGCACATCTTAAGGATTTAAAAATATATATACTGATTTGAATTAGGACTGCATTGCTTAAGCCAGGATGTGAATACGTAAAAACTGAGAAAGAGTGGCTTAAGGAGCTGCCACAACAGAGGGTGTAAATGAAGGTCGGGAGCAGTTGTGGCTTTGTTGCAAGGAAGGATGTCAGAAAATTGTAGTGAAAACAGAAATGGGAGTGGAAATTGCTGGTGTTTGCTTGTTTGTCCAGAACAGAAATCAATCCAGTGAATACAATCAATAGTTGATGATGTTGCTTTCAGTCCACAGATGATATGCAATTGATTATGTTCCTCCTCGCCCAATCTGAATTGCATTTCCTTTACATTGAAATGAATGGGGTGCAATAATGTAGTGACAACCTAACGTGCATAATTTATTACGTAAGTTTCATAATTTTTCAACAGCAGACAGCAAGGCAAGTAATGTAGTTGGTGCAAGATGAACTGCAGCAGAATGGAAACGGTGCTTTCTTACATTGTTGGAAGTCAGTTTTACCATAGCTTCATGGAGCTTTGGTGTTGACACTTTAGTGTGGGGGTTCTAAGTAGAATAAGGGAACTTAATTTCCTTATCTTATTAACCTGCATTCATTATTTTCATGTTTGGAATTGTTCCTCTTGGGCCCTCCTGCATACTATAACGCGGAGTTCTTGCTTTTCCTCTTCAGGTTGCTTATGCTGCCAGGGATGCCCAGGTGTCAGTAGCTTTGTTCCTCCACCTGCTGAACTTGCCCTTCCTTCCAGCAGGCAGTAAATATGCTCTTCTTCCTGGTTGGGAAAAAGTCCTGAAGATGTGTCAGGGTTTGGCAGATGTACCTTTCAAAGGAATAAACAGGAGTAGCTTTGGAGATGACGAAAATACAGGAGGCCCAGAGAAAAAAAGAAACTTTCCAAAGTCAGTAAATGATGGACACTCCCCTGTCAATCAACAATCAAAGGATCCTCGGAAGCTCAAGCGAAAGCCGTTGGGCATTGGATATTCTGTCAGGTAAAACTGTTTGCAGCTTTGTATAGTTTTTCATTAAATAGTGAGCAATTGGCACCAGATAAAAATTAAGTCCCCGCCCTGCAGGTTAACTTGTGAACATAGGATGCTGTCTTTTTACCCAATCAGAATCTGCTTGGTATTGGCTGCACTGACTGGCAATGGTTCTCCCGAGTTTCAGACTAAGAACATCATTAGCCTTACCTGCAGACGATGGAAATTGCACTAGGGACCTTCTGCATGGAAAGCAGGTGGTCTAGCCCTGAGCTGCAGCCCTTCTCCAGCTTGTTAGTGGTGGCAATGAGCATGCCTGCCTGCTAAGGGGAAGGGCCATCTACTTGCAGGCTGATGTTGTGAAAGTTTACTGAAAGGTTCAGTAGGACTTACTTCATAGTAAGTGTGCATAAAATTGCAGTCTTCCTTGGAAGGAAATCTTGTTGACGTTAGGTCTTGCACCAGAGTAAATCCAAAGAATGAGGTGACAGTATTATTTACCTCTATTACACGTGAACTTGTGTGCAGTAAGTGGAAGTATTAAGGTACTACCACTGTATATTTTGGGCAATGTATGTTAAACTTTGTTTTTGCAGAAAATCTCCCTTGTATGACAATTGCTTCTTACATGCTCCAGACGGGCAGCCTCTATGCACTTGTGATCGCAAGAAGGCTCAGTGGTACCTTGACAAAGGCATTGGAGGTTTGTGAGCCTGTTATTTTACTAGTCAACAACACTGAGCTTTTTGGCCAATGTTATGGTGACTTAGAAGCTCAGCTACATATGGAAAACAGCCCACTATTTAATGTGCATCAACATTTGGGTCATATCTGTTGGACAGTCTCTTGGGATGCAGATGCTCTTCCCATCCATGCCACTTAAAATCCATCAAGTTGCTTATCTGAGGCTCACCACAGTGTGCCCTCCTTCACTTCATAACCCATTCCTGGCCACATGATGCCCTTCTATCTTCTTCTGTTCCTCTTCCTCCAATGTGGGATCTAGATCCCTCAGTCTGGATGAAGGAAGTGAGGGATGAAAGGTATCTGAAAGGCAACAAGAGGTTTGTGGGCTAAAGTTGGGCCACACTGAAACAGATGCAGAGGCTGAAGATGTTGGCTTGGAAAACAAGATTTGCCACATACACCACACCCTGCCACTGCTAAGCATTCATCTTCAGACATTCATTATTATTTTGTGCAACCCATTATTTAGAGAAGGCACGTAAGCAGAAATTAAACATTTTAACAACTTTTTTTTTGCCATTACAGAGTTAGTAAGCATGGACCCATTTATTGTGAAGCTACAGTTTGAACCTTCTGGGCGCCCTGAATCTAAAGTGGATTATTACTTGACTGTCAAAGAAAACCTGTGTGTTGTGTGTGGCAAAAGAGAGTCTTATATTCGGTGAGTTCTCCAGTAATCCAGGGAAGGCATTCTATTATGGTAGAGCAAAATACTAGAGGCTGAAAGGGGATCAGGTGTTTGCTGAAACTGTTTATGGGGGCAGGGGTGCACTCAGTGCCCTATCCCACAATGCCCTCATACACCTTGCCCTGCCCACTCAGTCTCTGGCCTTCCCCATGTTGGTCAGGAAAGGTCTGCCAAGGGCTGTCAGGCTCCTGTCCCGCAACACAACAACAGTGGCGCTTCCTTCGGGGTAAGGAAGAGATCTTTACTCAGGCTAATAGCAGTATGGGCTCAGAATCAAACATAAGGTCCACGAGTCAAGAGTTCAGGAACAGGAACTACGAAGATGTCTCAATGTTTGACACACCTCTCTCATATGAGGTGGGGCGTTTATGAGACTTGTCTTCTACATGTGCACCAGCACAACTCCTCCTGGGCAGGTGCAACTGATCCCACCTACCAAAGTGGTCCTGAGCTCTCAACGAAAAGACTTTCCTGCCTGTCTACCTCGAGCTCCTGTTTCTTCAGCTCATCCCTCTGGCTGGACAGAATCCTCTCCATTCCTAAGGAGTCTCTCTGCTGCACAGGAGGGGTGGCGGCGAGATCTGGTGGCTGTACTTCCCCAGCCCTGACATCTAGAGTAAAAAGGGGGAGGACTTGCATTCTTCACCTCCACGTGCCCCCCATCTGCTCCATCTCCATCCTCTTTCCCTTGTCTGGGATTCCCACCCCATGCCCAGTCCTGATGAAACCAAGGGACCCGTGACAAGGGCTTTTATTTGCATTTGCTTTAATGTAACTAGAACCAAGCATGATTGTAGACCCTGAAAAACACTTCCTCAAAATTTAAACATGTACAGTATACCCTACCTTTTTATCGCTTTGCTCATTTTACTGTGTTTTGCTGCTCTGTACACTGACATTTTGTGCCATTAACTGCCTTAGGAAGGAGGAATCGGGGATGAGCAGGCTAGGATACCACATTAGATCAGGTTGTCAGTGGGTTGTTGCAATCTCAGAGCTGACTGTTGGCAACCGCTGCTGTTTCCTCAACAGGAAGAACATAGTTCCTCACGAGTACCGGAAGCACTTCCCTATCCAGATGAAGGACCACAACTCCCACGACGTGCTTCTCCTCTGCACCTCCTGCCATGCCATCTCCAATTACTATGACAACCATCTCAAGCAGCAGCTGGCTGAGGAGTTTGGCGCCCCCATTGGTTGCGAGGAGGGCGTCCGCCTCCTGGAAGACCCCATCCGCAGGCAGGTCCGCTCAGGCGCCAGGGCTCTCTTGAATGCAGACAGTCTTCCCCATGCCAGGAAGGAGGAGTTGCTACAGGTGATCAAGGACTACTTTGACTCTGTGACAGTTTCCCCGGAGATGCTGCAGGAAGCAGCCGGACTGGAAACCAGGTACAGTCGGAAACTTCGCTCTGTGTCTAGGTTGCAGGGGTGATGGAGAGAGGCTAGACCTGATCCTCACCCCCAGCACTTCTCATTTCTGCCTGTTTCTTTGCAACACCCTCTCGAGACTTTTGTTTGTTTGTCCCCTGCCTGCTTGTGTTACGGATAATTTTATAAAGTGCATACAGGAGGCCAAAGCATAACAGGCCTGTGTGTGGTTTGGAATTCCATGGGGTCCTGTCTTTGTATCTGAATCCACATTTTCTTTCTGCCCTTTCAGGATTTGTAACGAGAACTACATGCCACATGGCCTAAAGGTGGTCCAGTGTTTTTCCCGCGGGGGCCTTCGCTCTCTCATGCAGCTGGAGAGACGCTGGCGACAACACTTCTTGGACGTTATGCAGCCCAGGTATCTCCCGACGCAGTGGTCTGTCAGTCACAATCATGAGAAGCTGATCCAAAAATATGGGGAGCATCTCCAGGTTGAACTTTCTTGAAGCGTAATGAGGACTAATACGCTAAGAAGGTGACGGGAAATATACTTGGGAAACTTGGGAAATAAACTGGGGCTCTTTGTTTTCCATTACGCGCCTATAATGGATGTGCGGGATCCTGCTCAGATTGCCTGTCGCTTAGGAAATGCTCAGCTGTGTCAAATCGGCAAAACCGTGTGAAATGGTTAAAACGTGCGTTTTTTTAAGTTCTGAATAAATTTTAAGTACCATTTGAACCCATTGTTTCTCTGCTGCTTTGTTACACAAAGGCTACAGTAGCCAGATTTTTGTCAGGGGGGGAACTTCCAGGATCAGGAAGGATGTCATGGTGGCAATGAATACTGTTTTAAAGTAGCAAGTGTGTTCCATCTGGTCCCGGTCTCCTTAGCGAACTGCAGAAAGCCTTTTTAAACTTTACCTTTGTGGTAACTGGAAAAAAGCCTTGTATGCAATAGAAGATAATGTCAGACTGGTGCTGCTACAGCACAAGGTGTATTTGAAGCTGTTGAGTGCTTGAATTGCATCCACACAAGGGCTTTTCAAGTTCCCATCCATCCAGGCTCAAGCACTCACTTGACCAGTGACACCAGGGGAAGGGAAGGGACTGTTCCAGAATTCCTGTATAAGCCACAGGCAGTTTCGAGAAGACCACTCCTTTGTTGAAAGACTGAGGCATGTGGATGTTTTGTTTCTTTCTGTCCATCATTCTCCTACCCAAGCAAGACACACTGGCAAATACTAGGTGCAAACTGCCTTAACAGCATCTCATAGCCACTTTTTCTCTATGACTGACCAGGTATGGAGGAGCCAGTCCGCTAGCTTCTCAGCAAGTGCGTTGCTCTTTTGGTTCTCATTCTGTTTCAGAAAGTGCAAATTAGGTAGGTTCCCCTCTAAAGGTGAACTGAATGAATTTGTCATCCCTAGTCTGAAGCAAGATCTCTACCTTGACTTCTGGAAGGTGTTGAAATTCAAATCGGATTTAAATGTGAACCTACCTAAGTTTGAACTTTCCAGAACATTACAAGATCCAAAACATAGCCAGCCTTCAAAATGCACACCTCACTGAATTTTGAGATGCCGCTCTCCAGCCAAACAATGTTTACAGAAACACATATATCAGGGAAAAGTGTGCAGAAAAATGATTATATTTGCAGGAAAAAATGTGCATTGGTCAAAACGATATACAAGAATGTCTGTGTGTGAGGATCAACGCTGATCAATTTTCATGCAGTTTTAAAAAGAAACCCACAAATTACTGCAGAAATGTGGCAAACTGATTTTAAGATTGGAGAAATATTAATCTGAGAGAACTGAGACTGACAGGTCTGTCCATCCCTACTTCAGACACATGAAAGAGGAGGTTGTTACTAAAACTTACTGCAAAATTAAACAACAACCGACTGCTATCTTATTAACCAAGAATCACTGTGGCATATGAATCTTGAGAAGTTAAGTGGCTGAGGCCTCATCTGCAGTATCATACCACTTTAAACAGTCATGGCTTCTCCCAAAGAATCTTGGGAACTGTAGTTTGTTAAGAGGTCCCATTCCTTTCACACTTACAATTGCCAGAGTGGTTTAATGATCAGTCCCTCTTCCCAGGGAACTCTGGGAATTGTAGTTCTGTGAGGGGAATCCTAATACCCTTAACAAGCTACAAGATAGGGTCTTTTCTGCTTTCCACAATTAGCTCTTTAGAGCTAGAACTAAAAATAAGACTTTTCTTCACTTGCTTAGTCCAGCATCTGGACTGATAGTTCATTGACATGATCCTGATATTTGAGGTTTGCCAGGCTTGTACTGGCTCTCGGTCTGATCAGATCCTGTCACTTTTACGCTCTCTTTGGTGCGGGAGGAAGGCCATTTTTATTTTCCCAGGCTTTTTAAATCTTTGCCTCTTAATGCAATGAATTTCAGATCTGCAGTGTACTTTTAGTGATGCTGTGCATCTTGTACTGTTTTACTGGCTGCCGCTGACATTTTCATGCTGCTGTTTTATTGTTTCATTGATACTGTATTTTAGTGTTTTGTTGCTGCCCCCTGAACACTGATATTGGGCGGCATACAAATACTGTAAATAAATTGAAACAAGCTGCCTTGCAATGGAAAGGGGGGAATGGCTACATGAATCTTTACTTAATTAACCTCACAGGGTGCTGTGAGGTCTAACCATTATTTATACATTCTAGGGAATTTAATTGGGTTTTTTAAAAAGAAAAGAAAAGAAAGAAAAACTGCACTACCGGCTATTTGTGTTCACCATTAATTTTTGATAGGAGTGTCAACATTTTCGCACATTTTAACATTGTTGAATAAATCTTAGTTTTAAAGAAATGATACACCAGCTGCTTTGTTTTCTTCTCTTTGGGTTGGCGCCAAACTTCATTAATTTGAGTGGAAATTCTGTTAAGTGCTTGGTAAGGTCACCCATATTTCTGCAGCTCCCTGCCACACCAGATGCCCCTCCAATGAGTCCCTTGGGCGATTTAAGTGACTTCTGAGGGCCACAAAGAGGAATAGGCAAATCTGTCTCTTTAGGGCCTATGTCACTTTCCCATCTGTTCGACTCATAAATACCTTTTGTTTTATTTTCACATATAATTTGATATTTTAAAAAGCCAACCTGCCTGAAAATCAGCACATTTAAACACACATTGTGAACATTTTCTTTAAGGATACAAAGCTCCTTTTCTCTCCCAAGTATGAGCTTTAGACACGTTTTATACTTTTTCTATATGTTTTTGTAATTAGCTAAGAATTGTGTTGCAGCATTTGGAGACGAGCAGAACCAAATAGCTCTGTTCTAATCCACACATCAGTGTGGGAGGTGCGGATCAAATCAGTGCACATTAAGTTTGCAAAACTTGAGTTTCTTTTGCAATCCTAGCTGAAACAAGGGAAGGAAATAAATAAATCACGGCTCACATGCATGGGCAGAAGTGCCTCTGTTTGTCGCATTAACAGGTTTGGATCCAGGCACATGAGTACTATCCATTTTTGACTGATCTGTTTTAGCTATTCCTGATGAAAACTCCGACTGTTTCCTTCAAAACTACTCTACCTCTTTTTCCTCTTTCCCACTGTTTAAATTCATTAGATGAATGAGTATTGTGTTTTCAGCAAAAGTGAATGTTCTCATCAAGATAATGAGAGAAACAGAATTTCTTTCATAGCCCCTAAGAGATGTCTAAGCAGGTATATTATTTATTTTTCCCTTCTTACAGTGTTCCTCCTCCATCCCTCTCTGTGTCTTCCCTTCCGAGTACAAAATTCTACTTGATTCTGGTGCTAAAAGCAACCTAATGTCAGTGAGTCACTAGATGACACCCAAGGAATCTTAATGTTGTAATTAATGTTTCAAAGACAGGAACTACTAGAAAAGGTGCAAGCTGTCCTGTAACCTACTATGGGTGCTGCTGCTTCTGCAAGGTTTGGAAAGGGTGTCTTTCTGCTTCCAGTGCAGTGTATCACCTTTGCCTGGATCCTAAAGAAGAACAGGGATAGGGAACCTGTGGCCCTCAACCATTGTTGGGCTCTTAACGCCCATCCACCCCTGTCAACATGGCCAATGGTCAGGTGCGATGGGAGCTGTGGTCCAACAGAATCTGGAGGGCCACAGGTTCCACATTTCTAGTCTTAGAGATCATAGAATTGTAGAGTTGGAAGGGACCTTGAGAATCATCTTAGTCCACCCTCCTGCAATGCAGGAATATGCATCTGTCCCATATGGGGATTGAACTTGCAACCTTGGCATTATCAGCACCATGCTCTAACCAACTGAGCCATCTAGCCGTGAACCTTTTCAGTTTCTTTCCTTTGACTTTTAATAGACTACAGTGGAGGGTTGCTTGCCTCATTCTTCACGCCTTTTTGACCTAGAACCCCTAGACCCTTCTCCACTCCTCCCACTTCTAAATCATTTTACCCCACCTTTCTGATGTCTACGCGTCACTCAGATCAGTTTACGACAATGAAAATTACAATCACACAATAAAACTGAAGCACTGGCAAAATGCAATAGAGGCAGAAATGGTGGATAAAACAATTCTCCGTATTTAAAACCATTAATGACCAACAGAATCTGGTCCTTCAGGGCAAATGGGAACGGTGCCCTGCTAATCTCAATCTGTTTTTCTTAGTTACAGCCAGGCCAGAGGGTGGCGCTGCCTGTTAGCTTTCTCCTCCCTCGTCTCACTGTTTCCTTAGTAGACTTCATCTGGGAAAAGATTGGGGACAAAACTAGAATTAGATCTGCCTTCACCTTCCCTGGGCCTTCCTGCTTTCTACCGTACCAGTCTCAATGGGACCCAGCCATCACTGTTAGTAACCTTGCAAGGCAAAAGCCTGCTGGAGTAGAAAGGTATTGAAAACTCTAAGAGATGCTGCCAGCCACATGTTAACGGGTAAGATGCTCCACGATTTTGGCGTTGCTCCTCTCTCTAGTCACTGCCAACCACACTTCCACCACATCAGGAAAACTGGAGCACGAGGAGGAAGTCCTGAAGGGTCCACAGTAATTTATGCCAGAAAATAAATTGTTAGTCTTTAAGGTGCTACAAGACTTCATTTTTTTATGTGCCAATATATCACGATGCTGAATTAACCCCCAAAGATAACATCATATTGACTTTGCTTTTTAAAAGTGAGGGGGTGAGGGATAGTTCCACTTGCTCGTTACATTAGCCTTCATACATAAACAGTTTACAGACAATATACAAGAGAATGAAAAACAGAATTTGTATGTAAGGACCTGCCTTAGTGCCAATTTTCTACCGGGGATTTATTGGCTAAGCAGACAGAAGGCAAAGTATTCTCTTTCAAAGCAGGTGGGATTTGAGGCCAGGACTTGGTGTGTTCCTAGAAACAATGAACTTGGGGTCCTTAATTGCTAGCAAATCAATGTTGTCAGTCATTTTATCTCTTGAAATACCCTCTGGCAATCAGGCCACTGGGCAGGGAGCAGGAATCTTGCGGAGAAGGAAGTTCAAAGCAGTAATGAATTA